AACTACAAAAGTGAACCACTTTTACACACCCTCAACACTGGCTTTTTCTTTTCAGCATTTTCCTCCTGACATGGGTCTCCGTCATGACTTTTGTGAAGATGTGTTCGGTGGCATTACTGATTCACCTTCTGCTTGGCAAGAGATCTCCTTTAGCCAGTCGTATCTCAGTCAACTCGTGGAAGGAGATTCCCGTCGTGCTCGACTTCCATAGAGGTACGCAGCAGTACACTGTAACGGCCAGTCGTTGAGTGCTTCCTTGAGACAACCATCCATGTCAAGCTCCGCGGTCAAGCGATATTATGCGCAGAAAAGCCAGGCGCTTACGTGCGCTAAGTACCGGACACTAGCCTCCTCAGACTACTTGCGCCCACAACCAAGCGGAGAAACCGGAGATGCTAAGCAGCGCCGCGGGAGCGGTGGTGACTATGTAAACTTAAAACAAACACTAAACAAGCAAAACAAATATAGGAGACTTGGTCACCCCTTTATGGAGTACAGTGATGTGACTGGCCTAAGCCATTTTGGAGCACCTTTTGGAGCAGACAAAACAGTGTTTTGGAGCAGAAAATGTGGCCTTTGGAACAGCCAAGAAGGTATTTTGGGGCAGCAAAAGTGGCTTTTGGAGCAGCCAAAACAGTGTTTCGGAGCAAAAAAAAGTGGCTTTTGGAGCAAACATATTCTTAAAAAAATAAATATTTGTTTTAAGTGCTGGACAAACGAAGGGCACTTTGTGTTGTGTTGCGATGTGTTGGGCGGAACTCGCTGCCTGTGTTTTTGCTGCTGAGACATCCCAAAAGTATACAGTGCTGTAGGCGTTGCCCGGCAATACCGAAAAAAAAAAACACTTGCTATCGTTTTACTGGTTTCCGACATGGCAGATTTGTATAAAAAGTAGCAAACGTAAAACAATCAATTGGAAGCGTCCTGGCTGGTGCCTCTCGTGCAATCATGTGCACATGCACGTGAGGGCAACTTTGGCAGACTTGCAGTTACACGTGCTTCGTCGCACGAGCGGAAACAACAGCTGTTCGACTGAAACCGAAACCACGCCACTCCGCTCCGTCGCCAACTGGTTCCCAAAATAGTATGCAAAATGGAACTGTTCAGCATAAGACAGAAAACAGCCCGGCGGCGCACGCTTGCCAGGCCGGCAGGCGAGGTACAGGCTAAACTCACAGAAAAAAAGAACCTGAGCGTATCGATGCAAGACATTGCGAATCGGGGTCAAAAAGCTCTTGGAGCGCGTTGTGCAACGACTGAACTCGAGACAAACGAGCGCGGTGTGGAGGTTCAGCGTGTGAACATTGCCTTCTTTGCTTTAGCTCACTTCTCTTTACCAACTTTCTTTCGCGGCAGATTTTTCCTGTACCGGAGTCCCCCTCGAAAGAAAGCCCACCGAGGGAAACCTAGGTAATCAAAACTTCGCCAAGCAGTCATTGAGTTAAAGAGGGATTTTTATAGCAGCGTATGATTTAAACAGGAGCAGGAATGTCGATGCATTTCAGTTTAGAAAGCGCCATATCTGCAGCGACGTGGGGACGGCAACACATGCCATCGCGCGACCACGGCGACTGTGGTTGCGCAAGCGCTTCAGCTCACAAAGTAACTCTCGCTGCGCAAAAACGTGGTTTTGTTTCACAGTATTCGCGACTCCAGCAAAACGGACGCCGCCAAGCGGGAAAACCGGGAACCAGCCGGTCCAGGTCGCTCCGCGCCCCTCCGCGTCTCTGGTGGCTTTCGCGGAGATGTGTTGTCGGCGCGGTGGCGAACAATGTAATTTGACGAAGGTCCGAATATTTCTTAAGTTTGCCTGAGTGATCATTAGTGTGGTGAAGCCTCAGTAGATTGTTTTCTTCTATTACGTGTTTGAAAGCCCGTTTACTCCACAGCACACGGTCGCGTGCTTTCGATTTCTTGGATGGGGAGGAATCACGGAAAAACTTTATGATTTCTTGTCTGTCTCGAATCACATTCAAAGTGACGACTGCTTGGTAACTGATACTGGAGGGAACATCAATGTTGCAGTCAAGTGAATGGGAAGGTTCGATAGCTGCTTTTCTTGAGTTTGGTTGTGTTCGGTTAGCTTCAAGTTTGAGCCACCCACGCCGGTCGGTGCGTTGGCTATTTATCTTGGCCGCTTTTCGCCGAAAAAGCCTCTGGACCACACTTAAGGAGTTGGGCTGATTTCGCAATTACTTGATTCAGGAAAACTTGCTCGCAGCAAATGATGAATGAGGGAAATTATCTGTTTTCAAAAGGTGGGAGACAAGTCTCGCAACGTTAGATGCTGCCACGGCATTTTGACCTATCGCGCTTCCAATATTTATATTACCAGGACGTCGAAGCCAGCAGTAATATACGTCTACATTGATCAGGTTGACCGGCCACAAAAAAATACTAATTTTCTCCGTTCAGGATTTGAAGCAAAGTTCAATGCAGAGAGGTTCTGCGTGGATCTTCAATGAAGACTCTCTTCAGTTTGTCTCCGTGCTGCCGGCTATAGAACCATTTGGCTAAATTTAAGTAGTATGTTTCGTCTGTCAAATATACTTTTATTCAGCAGCTCACCTAATAGCTAGTCAACTAAGCTCATATGATCAACCCGAAGGATATACTAATATCGCTTTAGTGGGACCATAGTACGTAATATAATACATAACCCGCTCGTCAAAATGACTTCTCGATTGCTACTAAAACCTGAATTGAAATACGAGTATCAGCTGCTTAGTGGGGCGCCGGCGGGTTAACATGGTCCTTGGCTCAAAAAGCGGTTGCTTAATTTTCGTAATTTTCCTGCAGCCTGTGTTGATGGCCGAGCAGACGACTGGAGCTGTTTCGTAAACGCGGATACGCACAAAAGCTCGATTCCGCGGACAGATAAGTCGCATGGTCGAGGCATGCGAGTTAGCTGAAAAGTTACTATCTGTGGAACAATTCTATAGTCATCGCCGCTTTCCTCAGATGATCAAAACTGATTAGTATATTACCGTCTCTCCGGAGCCCATAGCTTCGGTTTTGAACGAAATCTCCGAAACGAAAGTTTGACACGAAAAGAACAAAATAACACCGGCGAAACAAAACTACGCTTTGCGAGTTTATCTGCACCAGCTACACTTCACCGTCTCAGTTCAAATACCTATAAAATTGGGCATTAAACAAAAGAAAATCTGTTAAATTGAACGCGCCACCCATTCAGGCGGCCCGGCCAAGCCGCCGCGACCTGGACTCAGCCGCCATGTTTGTTTGGTGGTGGCGCCCCCTATAGGTCGCTGGAGTCGCGAATGACGGCATGTCTGGCGGCCGGCACACTAACGTCGGAGCGTCCGCACCAACCGCATCTATCGCTAAACAAATTAAAAAAAAAAAAAGACGCAAGACGAGAATGCTGAGACGACGAGAGCGTGAAACGCGAGACGCCGTGAAAAATCATGCAAGACCGAATACACGATTGATGCAGGGTACTTTGTGTCGGGCGGCGTCTTGTGCCACCTAACTCACGGTTCTCAGTTTAGTTTCATTTTTGAAAGGCGACCAAAATTGGTCCTTTGGCGCAGGCTTGGCGCAGATTAACCATATGTTGGCGAAACGTAGCAGGATGTAGCAGGGTTAGCGCCTTGGCGCAGTTTGGCACAATTGGCGCAGCAATCACATCACTGGGAGTAGGATGTGGTTTTGACACACCTGCTATAGAAGAGAGGTTTGGGATTTAAATGTAGCCAGGTTTAACATTGTTCACTGGTGAACATAAATACTGTAACTAAAACAAAACAATGTTAATAAAGTGTTACAATGTTAATAAAGTTACCTAGTATTCGCTATGATCCAACAAAGGTGATTCCTGTTATTAGAAAAAATGCACGCGCGTTTTCCCATAGGAATGCACAGGAGCACCGCAAAAGTAGACTGGTTGGCGTCTGCTTCAATTCGCATCTCGGAATCACAAGCATACGTCATAATAACTATGATTCTAACCCCCACATGCCGCAATTTATCCAGAAATGCATCGGAGGCTTTGCAACGGGGCTTGCACATTGTCGATCACGGTTAATCGATTTTGATAGGCACGGTAAGGGAAGAGTTAAGGTGTAGCCGGACTTTGGTCTGGTTCAACATCCGTGGTTTGCAAGTAATGTTGAATTACAATAAGTGCAAAGCTTTATAAAGGTGTAACAAATTTTTATCTATTTATTTAACGATACCGACAGCCCGGCTAAGGGTCAAGGCAGTCACGAGTAGGAATATTGTGCATACTGGATATACGATAAAGGAGAAACAAAGCGGAAGTAAAAACAAAAGGTCAACGATACATATACGCAATAATATTAATAAACCCCTTTCCCTCAAAAATCATAACATTTTGAAAGCATACAAATAGCACTACAAACACGTACAATCAATATTGCATTTGAGACGAGACTTTTAAAGCCTTTTAAAATCTGACAAATTACGGAGAAACTATGGCATCGGGAAGTTTTGTTTTACAGGTTGACAAACTCTAAAAAGGATGAATGTTTAAATATACTCATGCACGCACCAATTGCAGATACCACTTTTAAGTGGTGAAGGTGCACTAAATCAAGTTTTATCTACTACCGTAAAATACTGGCAAGCCCACTCAAAATTTAGAGATAATCGCGAAAAAATGGGGGATGGGCGCTTGTCCGGTCATAAATTTTACACATGAATGTACTGTGCATATTTTCTCAAATCTTACAAATTAGGGTATAGGTGCTTAGTGTGGTACGGGCGGATGCACGGTATTCTACGGTAGTCGTTTTTTTTTTCCCTATAATCACCTTTTTTTGGCATCCGTACAAAACAAATTGGCAACATACGGAGTTTCTTTTAAAATGAATAAACAGTAAGACACCCTGGCCGACTTTCCGGACAATCGCCGGTCTCCGGCCTAGTTATAATGCAGGGATGGGAGCTGGCACAAGGGAGGATGCGTGCCTTCCTTTTCTAACGGAATGCATAAAACATTGTGGGACCTGACTCACCGGGTGTGTACTTCACCAGGCTGGCCAGCATCTGCCCGTTGAAGCCTCCGAAGATGTACAGGGACCTGCGGGGTCAGAGGGTTTCCGTGGGGCCCTCCTCTGCCAACCCTAGTAGTGCACTCTAACTTCACTGCATGGACAAATTCACTAAGCCATAGAGTCTAATCGTATCAAATTTTGTCTCGGTCCGATTCATCCGACACTGCCTCAAGTTATAAATTTCCACAATGCTTTTGACTTGCAATGAATCCATGACAAGACTGGCTATGCATCCAGTTGGTGCCCGTACAGTCAAACGCCTTTATAACGAAAACTTTGAAAACGCCCATTTAACAGAGTGAAATAAAGTCGCGGCCAATCTCCTATGTGTTCAATGTGTTTCTCAGACTACTACAACAAGTTCCTCTTTAACAAATATTTTTGTTGAACGAAGCAGTCCAAGCTCCGAAGCTTCCAAAGTTCCAAAATGGAGCTTTTGGAGCTTTGTGCTGTCCGTCTCGTTTTTGTGCCGCTTCTGGGTTGCCATGCCAAAACCGAGAACGCGCGGCAACAGAAGCGGTGCGACAAAGGTGGCGTTGCGCCTCCGCCACGCGCTCATGCTTGCTTCTATGCTCACGCCATCGAGTATGCGCCACTCGACGGTCCGTCCGGGCAATGCGCACACCTGTTTTCTTATTTTGTACGTATGTCGGCACATTTCAAAGGACTCCCGCAAACGAGAGAATATATTGTCACGAACGACAATTGAGGAGGCGATGAAACCCAGGAGCAAACGAAACGCAGAGCGAACATGCACTCAAACAAAACGAGATGGAAGGGAAAATAACGGCCGTCGACAGTGGCGTAACGGCAGAAGCGAGCACGGGCGAAAGACCCCCTTGTACCAATCTAGCTCTTTTTAAACCTTCCCGGGAGCCTAGAATATTCTGCCCCGATCCTTCTCAAACTATACATTCGGAACACGAACAAGCTAGGCGGTTCTCCAACCTTCTCCAACCTTCTACTCACATAAAAAGAATGTGAAAAGACGCGCAGTGCCAGAAATCCAACTCGACCCACCCAAGTGTGAGCCCGGCGTGCTGCCGGCTTGGCTACGTAAAAGCGCGACAACGTAGAAGAAGTATTTCTGTCGGCAGTTGCAAATGCTTTATGTGGTCTCGGCACTCGTTCGACCGAGGCGACGATCTTCGCCAGGGTCCAAGATTCCCAATTTCGCTCGATCGGAGTCCCAAATTATTTCGCCTTGGAGCGACGATGTGCGGTGAAGGAATGGTCTGCGACTTTACCTGCAACGCTAAAATCTAAGCGAAATCAGTAGAGCTGCAGAGACTCTTTGTGCGGACAGATGCAAAAAAGAGCTCGGTCGGCTCGGTTGTGCACCTCTCCCTATCCTCAGACTGCAGCCACCGCATGCTGAGTAGTGATGCAAAACTATCGATGAATTGACTATTGATACTTGCGATAGTTTTTCAAAAACTACTGATAGTGTCTCAGAACTATTGATAGTTGACTATCGATAGTACTGTCGATAGTTTTCCGATAGTAGACTATCGATAGTACTATCAATAGATTTTTGATAATCGACTATCAATAGTTTTTTTATTGTCCATAGTCACATTTCTGGAGACTATTGATAGTGCTATCGATAGTTTTGCACCACTATAGTCCGTTACAACTCAAGAAGGCAGTTCGAGAGTAAGACGGGCCGGGAAGGGAGAAGCAGAAGGAACACTAAAGAGAGAGGGAGGTTTCCCCATCTCTTCTCCAGCGTTCCGTCTGCTTCCTCCTCCCTGGCCCGTCTTACCCTTGCCCTACCGCTCGCCTCCACTTCTTTCCTCGCCCAAACTCCCGTCTTCGTCATCACTGAAAGCTAACGAAAGTTGGGATGGTAAGTACCTGGGCTAGTTGCTGTCCCATTTGAAAAAAAAAATAAAGCGATAAAAAGAGAAGAGGGAGCGATGCAAACTACTAGTGTCGCAAAACTATCGATAGTAAATCGTCGACAGTACCATCGATAGGTTTACGATAGTCGACTATCGATAGTTTTCAGACAGCTGATTAACGATAGTTTTTTCGATGGTCGACTATTGATGTACTATCGATAGTTTTTCTCTAGTCGACTATCGATAGTACTATTGATAATTTTTCGATAGTCGACTATCGATAGTAGTATCGATAATTTTTCTATTGTGCACTACCGATGGTACTATCGATAGTTTTTCGATAGTCAACTATCGATAGGACTATCGATAGTTTTTTCACTATCGATAGTCAAATTTCTAGCGACTATCGATAGTTTTGCACCACTAGTGCTGAGTGCACGGCCGATTATGCCGTGCTGCCGTATGGTGCCCGATGCTCCCGTTCCTACGCCGTCTAGCGACTCTACGCACAATCGACAGCAGTGCAGCTGCTTCGAGAGCCTCCTTCGAATGATGCGTGAAGGGACAGGCCGCTGCCCGATTTAAGAAAGGCCAAACTTATGTGGTCGGCGAACGCCTTTGCCGCATGATCGAATGGGGGGGGTTCCATGTCGGTGGCGTAATGACTGTCGCAATTCCTATTTCGGAAAGTCGGTCAAGTTTAAATGGTGGGAAATTAGTCTGCAGCAAGAAGCGCCTGGTTTCTCGGCTGTGGATGACAAACCTTGCCAGTGGCAGAGCGTGGTGTTTAAACTGTGTCACGCAGTGGTGAAGGCTAAGATGCCTGGATTCCTTTCGGGCCAGCTGCTTCGAGCTGCAATGCCCTAGCAGACTCTGCCACCATTCCCCCTTTTTATCAGTCAATGGACCTCTGTTGAGTAACGAGCGCAGTCTGGATGAAGAGCAGCCCAACGTGCCTTCACCCGTCAAAATACATTGGCATCATGCCGTTGTACCGGTTTTTGCTGCTTTTTATTCCCCATACAGTATAGACCACTTACAACATAACCGCTTATAGTGCAGGACCAAGTATAACGGGGCTTTTTTAAACCAGCAGTTCGCCTCCCATAGAATTCCATGTATTTACATACCGCTTAAAATGCAGGCGCGCAAAGGGAAATACCGGTTATAGTGCGGTTTCTGGAACAGCCCGGCGGCTGTGCCGACTGACGGGCGCAGCGAGCACGCTTCCCTGTGCGGCGCTAGATAACGGCGCGAGCCGCAAGCGGCACTCGCGGGGCAAGGAGGTTGCTCGAAGAAGTGGGCAGAAGCAAAGAGAGAGGCTTCAGTTGCCATAGCAACGGAGCAACGCACGCACGTGTCATTCACGTGCGTGCGTCCCTCCGCTGCGATGATTGGAAACAACCGCAACGACAGACCAATCGCAGGTCGAGGAGAGGTGTTCGCGTGCGTTGCATGCCGGTCGTAGGCCGGCTGCTTCTATCCGCAAACATGGCGTCGGTTGTGATCGTCGACGTAGACGGCGTGGTGGAAGCTCATCGTTCCGCGTAAAAGCGCTATCCTTGACTGTGAATTTTCGTTGTGCGTCGCTATGATAACCCAGCACGTACTAGAAGGGAAGATCCACCTACTCGTGCGGCGATGTCGTGACGGCACTCTCAAGACGGCAGAAACGCCCGTGTCGTCGTGTTTGTTTACTTCGACTGCAGTGGTGCTTCTAAGCATTTGTGTTTTCGAACATCGCCCGGATTTCTTATTTCGAGCATTTCATGCCTGTGCTCAAGTTGAAGGTATTGCTGGTGCGTACCATATAAAGCATGCGAATTTTCACGCGTTTTTATCGCCGGAGAAAAGTGATTAGGGTTAGCAATCCTGAACGCTCGCAACGTCCGTCCGCAACCCGCGACGCCGTTAAAAGGCTGCGCCAGGCGAAAGTCGCTCATTTTTTTCAAAATGTGTGACACACTTGAGAGAGAAGCGTACTAGTCTGGTGAAATAAAGACTTTCCTCAAACTAAGCTTGACTTTTCATCTAACATAAAATAAATTCTTTTACAAAAGTAAGTTGCCTGGTGGCATGTATTTTGGCCTGAAAAAATAATGTTTTGGTTATAGCGCGATACCGCTTATAGTGTGATTTTTCGCGACTCCCGCGACATACGTTATATGCGGTCTACACTATACTACCAATACTAAAAAACGAAGCAACAAAATAGACTAAATACGCACGAAGGTAGATGCTAACAAAGTTGATGTCGCCGTTTTCGCAGAGCACCGTCTCGGTGCCCTGCGAAAATGGCAACAGTGGGAGTGCACGAATGCACAGAAGCTTACTGGAAAAAGGCCCATTGTCAACAGACAAAAGCTCGTTTCTCATGTCACTCATACTATATTTGGAGCTATACTGTTTCCTAAAACTAGGGATGTCGTGAACCACCCTAGGTTCGATTTCGAAAGGTTTTGATATTTTTGAAGCGAACTGAGGTTCGAATTCGCAAAATTTCTATATTTTCGTACCGACCGAGGTTCGAATTAAAAAAATTCGCAACTTTCGATCACAGTGCAGTTTTGAATTAGAAAAGTTTGAAGCATTCACGGTTTCTAAAATTTCGGGTGCGAATATTTCAAATGTTTTTTTATTTGAGGTTCGATAAATTCGAAGATTTCGAACTTTCCTAAATTGAAATTCGAGATATTTGAAAATTTCAAATTTCTTGGGATCTGAAATTCGAAAATATCGAAGATTTCAAAATTTTTTGGAGATAAAATTCAAAAATTTCGAACGCTTCGAATTTTTATAGACATAAAGTTTGAAAAATTCGAAGATTTCGAACTTCTTTCTAAATGAAGTTCGAAAAGTTCGAAGGTTTCGATTCTCTTTTGAGCGTCCCAGATGTGCTGGAATATTTGCCAGTGCAGTGTGACGAGTGACCATAGCCGCCAGCCCGGGGGGGGGGGGGGGGGGGGGCTTTAGCGTGCATCACACAGTAGTGATCCCACAAACGCACTGTGTTACAATACTCATCCAGTTCGAAACGGCCAGGGACGGGCAGGAGGTTGAAGCGACCTGGCAAACTACTGCCCTACCCCTTGCACGCTAGAAGTAATCCGATCGAACGCCACCCGAGTGACGCTGGCATATAGTAAATTAAGTTTGTAATTGCTGTGAAGGTTTATTTTCCGGGACGGAGGAAACGCCTCGCAAAAAGCATAGAAGCCGACACAACTCGAGGTCGAGGAGCGTTCTACCATACCAGTAGCGTTCGAAGAGGAAAAACGGGGGGAAGGGGGGCTCCAGCCCCCCTTTCCCCCTTCCAGATATTTGAGACTGTTAAAGAAAACAATACGGGGAAAGAGGGCATGGTCGAGCTTATTTTAATCTGAAATTATTTATGCGTAAGTATAGCTACTGTCGCTCTTCACTGCATAAAAGATCACGTAGATGGTCATTGTTAGAAACTCGTTGTCAGAAGGCACTACTTGTCACATGCTTCGTGGTTCGAAAGTTCACAGCTATGTATTTTCTACCTAAATAACTGTGCCACTGATAAAAAAAATAAAAACAAACATAACAATAAATGCAAAGATAAAAAGCTGCAGAAAAAAAAAACTATCAAGAATTCGCCGGAAGTGTTGTGTTCTTGCATATTCAGGGGCTCAGAACTTCGAAACAAGTTTCTCCTACCAAAATGCGTACAGGCTAAGAGAAACACGTCCCAAGAACGTGAAGCGAAAAAACAAATGTTTATTTTTAAATGACGCGCTGAACTTGAACAATATTAGATATCTTCTCCCATGAGTTAATTCATTCCTTAACGTGAAAAAACAATAAATACCTTATTTTGTATTCTGCAGATGGCAATGATAGGTACCGTCTGTAGTGTTAATTTAAATGCGATACCTCAAACAACTTAGACGAAAAAAAATACCAAGTTTAGGGCATAATTACCCGTAGATACATGTTTGGACATTTCTTTGAAACTTATCTTGAATAACAATAATCACATCTTAAGACAACACTTACCTTACAATGATCATTCTTAAAAAGTTTAACATCTCTACCATAAATAGCTTCGACTAAAGCGGGCTTCAAATATGGCACAAACGACAATCGTCAAAAAACCGTCGTCCTTCCTCACCCCTTCGGGAATGTTTTTTTTTAAACTAAGCATGCCAGAACATTAAATAAATGGCATTGTCTTTCGTAAGGAACGCAAGACCGCATGTAAAAATTCGAGAAAAAAAATTACGAATGTACCTCACTACTTGAATTCAAATGAAACCGTCCACCGGTCTTTCGAAGTTCGACGAATGTCAAACTTTTACCCTAAAAGTTAGAAGTTTGTCAAACTTTTGGCATTTTAGCATTCGAAAGTTTGAAACTTTCGAATTCTCTTGATAAATAAGTTCGAAAGTTCAAAATTATTTAATTCCTTAGCGTAAAAAATTCGAAAGTTCGAAAAGCTTCGAACTTTTTAGTTCGAAAGTTCGAAAAGCTTCGAACTTTTTAGTTCGAAAGTTCGAAAATCATCGAATTTTTTTATCTATCAAATTCGAAAGTTCGGCAAGCATAGAATTTTGCAGCGTAATAAGTTTGAAAAGAATCGAATTTTTTAGCGTCAGAAGTTCGACGGTTCGAAAAGTGTCGAACTTGTTAGTTTAACAAGTTTGAAAATTCGACTTCCGCTGAATTTTACAATATACAGTGTAGACCGCATATAACGTATGTCTCGGGATTCGCGAAAATCCGCACTATAAGCGGTACCGCACTATAACCAAAACATCAATTTTTCAGGCCAAAATACATGCCATGAGAAAACTTACCTTTGTAAAAGAATTTATTTTATGTTAGATGAAAAAATAAGCTTAGTTTGAGGAAAGTCTTTATTTCAATAGACTAGTACAGTTATGTCTCAAGTGTGTCACACATTTTAAAAGAAATGAGCGGCTTTTGCCTGGCGCAGCCTTTTAACGGCGTCGCGGGTTGCGGACGGACGTCGCGAGCGTTCAGGATTGCTAACCCTAATCCCTTTTCTCCGGAGATGAAAACGCGTGAAAATTCGCATCCTTCATACGGTACGCGCCAGTAATACCTTGAACTTGAGCACACGCATGAAATGCGCCAAATAAGAAATCCGGGCGATGTTCGAGGACACAAATGCTTAGAAATCACCACTGTAGTCGAAGTAAACAAACACGACGACACGGGCGTTTCTGCCGTCTTGAGAGCGCCGTCACGACATCGCCGCACGAGTAGGTGGATCTTCCCTTCTAGTACGTGCTGGGTTATCATAGCGACACACAACGAAAATTCAGAGTCAAGGATAGCGCTTTTACGCAGAACGATGAGATGCACGCCGTCTACGACGTTGATCACAACCGACGCTTGCGACCGGCATGCAACGCGCGCGAACACTTCTCCTCGACCTGCGATTGGTCTGTCGTTGCGGTTGTTTGTTTCTTTGTTTCCAACGCAGCGGAGGGACGCACGCACGTGAGCGACTCGTGCGTGCGTCCCTCCGTCGCTATGGCAACTGAAGCCTGTCTCTTCGCTTCTCCCGCGTTTTCGAGCAACCTCCTTGCCCCGCGAGTGCAGTTTGCGGCTCGCGCCGTCAGCGCCGTTATCTAGTGTTGCACAGGGAAGCGAGCTCGCTGCTCCGGTCGTCGGCGCGGTCGGCGGGCTGTGCCAAAAACCGTACTATAACCGGTATTTCCCTTCGCGCGCCTGCATTTTAAGCGGTATGTAATTACATGGCGTTCTATGGGAGGTGAACCGGTGGTTTAAAAAAACCGCGTTATACCCGGTCCTGCACTATAAGCGGTTACGTTGTAAGTGGTCTATACTGTAGAAAGTTTGAAAATTTGAAGTCTTTCGAACCTTTCGAACCACTTGATTCGATAGTCGAAACTTCGGTTCGAAAAAAGTTTGCGGCATCCCTACCTAAAACATCTCGAATGTCACGCAAATGCATCAATATGCAATAGCCCTAATTTAATTTCGTGCGATCGATTTCTCACGCTCAACTACTCTCAACTACTCTGATGAAGCTACCCGTACTAGGACTTGGTCATAAAGGCGTTTGACTGCACCATTTACGATCAATGAAGCTGATGTCACTCTCTTCACTGCCTAGCAGCCCAGGCCCCAAAGGGCACAATTTGGCACCTTTGGGGAAAAAATCCTATAGGACAGCCCTTAAATATCAGGACAGCCCCTGAAGGCCTTGTCATCATCGGAAAGATCCGAGCCAGCTTTGTATCAACCAGCACTCTTCTTTATGTTAAGTGAAACTCCATGCATGTCTGGAATGACATGCACCCTTTTCTTTTGTCCTTCTTCTTGAGGGCCTTTCTGTTGAATCGTTTGAAATTTTAAAGCAATCAAACGCACGAAGCAAAACGCTCTCGAGAAAAACCTGATAGGAAAAGGGTGCATGCCATTGTCCACACGCACACAGCTTCACACAATCTTCTCTTTCTTCTTTAAGCTGGCTCAGATGTATCCAATGATAAGACGGAAGAAAACGCAGTGTCCCCAAGGAGCACATCAACTGGTGTATTGATATTGTCTATAATGTTATCCACGAGGTGCCTCTTAGCTGCGGGCAACTATACTCTGTACATTGACCAGACAGCTCGCTGCTTCGATGACAGAACAAGAAAGCGCAGACTTTCCGTACGTAACAATTTGGGATGGCATCTTTGAGAACATTGCAAGCGTTGTGGGTGAGAACCTTGCTTAGAATCAACAAAAGAAAAAACTGAGATTGTTGAAGCATTCTTTATCAAAAGGAAGGGCGACAATTGTGAATCCGTTTATTAGATAAAGAGATTACTTTCTTGGACGGAGTAAAGTGTCGAGTGGTCACCGAAGTATGTGCGAGTGTTTGGATGGCCTCGCAATAAATCGGTTTGAAGTGAGTGTCTGTCCGTGTCAATTCGTCCTCCTCTCTCCCAGACACACAGAGCACAAAATACGAGAAAATTTTTTGGCGAAATATTTGCATAGCGAGACCCATTTTGAGTTAGGTGAGATTCTGAGACGCACTTGAATCTTGAAACGTCGCTTGCAAAATAGAAGCCTGCCTCGGAACCACTTAAACGAGCCTCGCAACATGGTGCGTAGTACTGTGCCACTTTGGTTTCTAAAAGAGGGAAAAGTTTCTTTAGTGGCTCTTAAAACGTCTTTTGGGAAGAGTGGGAACCCATCAAGCCCACTCACTGGTTGTAGACAACGGCCGAGTGCCCAAAGCGCTCCAGCTGCATAGAGGACGGCCCAGGCAGCGTCTGCCACGAGTCACACTCTGCAAGAAACCGGGCCAAAATGAGGATGCCAACTTCTGCTATTGCTTGGATGACCCTTCCAAAATGCCCTATACATGCGAGGACTCCAAGCTCAGGCAATGTCCTTTTTCTCAGTAGAGGATCTTGACCAAATACTCACACGGTCCAACAAATTTGCATCCGCGTTAGCAGGAAGCAGCTAATCATCTAGATTAATTTCTATCTAGATGCAAATAAGATTGCGCTGGTTGGAGGATGTAAAATATTTGAGCGTTATCTTTTCAACCAACCTGACGTAGAGTAGTCACGTTGAATTTATAACTATGAAAGCGTAAGTGTACTTAATTTTACTAAGAGGAACTGGAAAGACGCGCCGTCAAACAATTTTTATACATTTGTAATGTGCGTTCCATCTTAGAATATGCCACTCTTGTGTGGGATTCTGACACTGAAACCTTAATTAATAAACTAGAGCAGGGGTTCTCAAACTGAGCTCTGGGGAACACAGGGGTTCCACGAGCTGGTCTCATGGGTTCCACCAACACCCATATTGCAACCCCCACGCCGCAGGCTGCACGGCAGGACCATGCAAAGCGCCTTCATCTCACTTTGTCCTGACATTGCGATTGATATGGTGGGGATATATGGGGAGCAACGCAAGCGAAATTGCCTACAATTGTGCATCTGTTGCTTCTCGGTCGGCAAATATGGAGGGGGAGGGGGAGTGTTCCGCGGCAGTTTTTGAGGCTTCCTGGGGTTCCGTGAGGCCAAAAAGTTTGAGAACCCCTGAACTAGAGGACATTCAAAATTAATCTAACTCGCATCAGTTTGGTATCAGTGCATTAAAGGGCCCCTGAAAAGAAAAACAAAAAGTTGTTTTTTTAACATTCTAATTGGGACAAAAACGTAAAAAAACAAATTTCACGCAAAAAAAAATTTTTTTAGAGCAATACTGACGGCGTAAGACGCGGTTTCGTCGGCAGTCACCTTCTTTCCACCTGTTTTCTCTCTCGGCATTTCGGGTGCGTGGAGGAGAGGTCGGTTGGCTTCGCCTTCACGACCGAGATGGTCATTCCGGAAGGACCCGCGACGTCATGAACTTCGCGCGCAGAATTTTAAATAAATCTTCCCCCATCAATATTGCTCTAGAAAAATTTTTTTTTTGGGGGTAAAATTTCTTTTTTGACATGTGTGTCCAAACCAGACTGTTTAAAAAAAGCATTTTTATCTTTTCAGGTTTTTTTAAAGGAGGATGTGGGGAATGAATGAGAACTTCCTTATTTCTCGAGATATCTGAACAGAATTTACAGGGTGTGTTTATAACACAGACATAAGAAGAACTGCAAAGTTTCATGGAGCTGCGCATTCTATTTCCCAAGTTACAAATATTTATTAAAATTGTCCACATCCGTTCCTTATCCCAGGCCTGGGGAATCTGAAAAAGGTAGTAACAGTATAAATTTTGTTATGATCACCCCTGGATAGGTTCCTCCGGGTATAACAGAGCCCTTTTATTAAATTTCTTTGTTAAAAATTTTGGCAAAAGTTTGAATTTTATGTAGTCGGTAAAAATGTGAATAAAAGTTTGTCAAAAAATTTATAATGCAACTTTTTAAGAAAAGGGCTGTTATGCCCTCACAAAGTTATATAGGAACAGAATAAAAAAGACAGCACAAAAATCCATTGAGCAGTTCCCGAGATATTGCTGGGACGAGCAGCCACGGCAGGGGAAAAAATCTGTTCCGAGAAAACAGCACTTGAAATAAGAAATTAGGAACAGCGCGCAAAAAGACAAGGACAACGAGAGTAGAGCACAGGACAAGTGCTAACTATGAACTGAAGTTCTATTAAAAATGGCTCAAACGAGAAAAACACCACAAAGCCAAGCAACGCCGTAACAACCAATGGCGTGTCGGTCACTAGTGACCTATAAAATCTATCTCTTTTTCGTGTAGATAAATTGAAGGCTGGCTGACGCAGAGCCAGCTTTTTCTATTGCATGTGCCTCCAGCACCTGTCTCTGCACTTTTGTACGCCTCCTGCCAATGATTATGGTACCTTCAAAGATAGGATGACACAGACAGTCTCTGCAGTGTACATACAAGTGACCTCCGGTCATTGACCGTAAAGAAAGGGCATGTTCACGCATTCTCTCATTGGACAGAGCGATCGCTCTGTCCAATCACGTTCTTGCAATTGCGACACGGAAGAACGGTGACCACGCCATAACCACGCAGCCGACGCTACTTTGGGAGCCGGCAAACAAAAGAGAGAGAATTCACCTTCGTAACAAGACCAAGATGGCAGCCGTGGGCCAAATGCGTCGGGAATGGCGAGCACGCGAAGCTGGGGTTGATTTTGACGTTCACTTGACAGTCACTTGGACGCTACCCACGCCTCATAAATATTTGCTTTTAAATATTTCCTCGTTGTATTAGGTGCTGATAATTACGAACGAGGTAGTTTATGAGATATACAACCCAAAAATATTAATTTCTAAAAATAATCTTTTTGCCATTTTTTGTTTTTCAAAGCCCGCGTCCCCCTTAAAGGGCCACTGAAAAGAAAAAGAATGTTCTTTTTAAACAGTCTGGTTGGGACACGCGTGTCTAAAAATAATTCTGACACCAAAAAAAAATTTTTAGACCAATATTGACAACGCGAGATTTATTTCAAATTCTGCGCGCAAAGTTTACGACGTCACGGAATGGTCATGCACTCTTTCCACCTCAACGAGATGATGCTACCCTCCCACCACCTCAATGTGGTGGCCAAGCCGATACACCTCTCATCACAGCGCCCGACATGCCGAGAGAACACAAGTGAAAAGGAGGTGGCTACCGACTAAATTGCGTCCTGCGCTGTCCTTATTGCTCTAAACAAAAGTTGTTGTTTTTTTTGCATTATTTTTTTACATGCAAGTCCCCATTCGAATGTTAAAAAAAATTTTTTTTCTTTTCAGTGGTTTTTTTTTTAAAGATACCTCGTCGTGGAACTTACTTGAACTTGGCCGCAGACTATTGAGACCAAACGGTGTGTGAACACTTTGGCATTGATAAGAACATTTATCTAAAATTCCTACTTTTATTTCCCAATCATTAGACAAAAAAAACTAAGTTTTTTTGTCTAAGTAAAAAAACTAAAAAAACTGTTCTATGAGGTATGTGTTTAGCCTTCAGTTTTCTTTACCTGCACAGTACGATCGGCATAGAGTTATTTTCCAAATATTTGAGCTCTAGATATACCTGCACATTACAATCGTGCAAACACTGTAGGTTATGAATGAATAAAAATAACATATTAAAAAAAGGTGCTCTAAAGGCGACCAACAGCACAGAGCACTACTTGCAACTCGGGTTCAAAACTGGAAAAAACCTAAACAGCCGTTACCGAGAGGTGCGCAAAGAACCCTGAAGGAACTGAGAACACTGGCCCTCTGAACTTGTTCTCGTCCTCCTCTACACGCGCATTCCCACTCACGTGCTTCTTCATACGACACCACCGCAATATCAAAAAGAAGCGTGGCCTAGGCAAAGTGCATCGTGAATCTACATTTTTAATTGCACTAATGTTTATCACTCAGAGTATTTCAAGCATGCAACCTCAGAGCCGAGCAACATCATCGAGGGGGTGCCAACACACGTGCCAGCCCTAATATATCCCTCGTCGTTTCATTCTTGTTTCGGGCAAGAACGAGTTGCAAGTGGCTGTCTGTGGTTTTCGTCGTCCTTTTGGTGCTTCCATACAACGACTGGCCCATAGTCTTCTCTCTATTTGGGACGGGCGGCAAAGAGTGTGGCCCTCACCGAGGTCGTAGGCCAGCAGGTCAGCCGAGAAGCACTTGTCGCCCGTGCTGAAGGCGGTGTCGTTGTGCGTGTTGCCCCCAAAAACCAGCATCGTCCGATGCAGCAGCACCGCGCTGTGCAAGTAGCGGTGCGAAGAGCTGGGCGCCAGGAGGGTCCTGCGTCCCAGACGGGCGTCAGGGCGGCCTGCGTCTCACACCCGGAGCAGCAACAAACTCCGTCGCAAGAGGCAGAGTGGTAACCGAGCGTCCACCATCGCAGAGGACGCTTCTCCAAAGAGATCAATGCTGCTCACCAGAGGCGCTCCGAGGGTCGGTAGGCGTACAGGCAGTCCACGACCACCCCGGTGGTGGTCTGCGAGTGGTAGCCCCCAAAGACCAGCACCTGCCGCTCCACGGGGTCGTACACCGACGAGTGGCCGTAGCCGCCCTTCACAATGGCCCCCCTCGTCTGCACAATCTCCCACTTGTCCGAACCTGCGCACGGAGACCCACCATGCGGTATCATCCTTTTCTCCTGTCGCGCTTTTTGCTTCCGCGAGTCTAATGCATATATCACTTTTTTTCATTTTTGTCTTTTCAGCCGACAGACTGAAATATCGGAGGGTTTTTAAGCATTTCAATGTTTTACCTACATTATGTTCAGCCCACACCAACTAGCCCAGCTGTCACCTTTGGTACAGTCAATTCTCACGTCGGGTATCCGTATTTATGTGCTGCAAGTAATTCCGAGAATGCCGAGGGTTACTCGCGCTTCCGCGGTCAAAGAAATCGATGCAATGAGTCCTGGGAACTGCACACGACGGTATCGACATCTTTAACTTGGACATTCAGATATTTAAGTCTTCATCAAATAACATTTAATGTTACGATACGATACAATATATTTATTTTGACTCAGGAGAGGTTAACGCAATTCCCGAGAGTCAGATGCTCGTGTTAGAATCAACATTGCACAACTGGAAGGGCGTACCGAAGGCGTACTCCTGGACGACGTTCAGGTAGCCGTAGTCCGGGTTGTGGCCGAAGAAGACCAGCATGGTGGCGTCCACCACGACGGCCGAGTGGCCCGTGGCCGTGAGGGGCGGGCACAGCTCGTTCTGGCACTCGGGCTGCGTCGGGGACAGCTGGGACCAGCTGCGCCCCGAGGGGTCCCACCGCCACAGGTCGTTGGCCGTGCGCCCGTCCCGCAGCGTGCCGCCAAACAGGTACAGCGAGCTCTGCACACCCCACCCCCGCCCTCCTTGGCTCCAAACCCAATGTGCCTCCAAGCCAGTTTCCAGTCGGAGCCTTTTTGAGCACCTTTGTGTCAAAAAAACTGTTTGGAGCAGCTTTGGAACAACCAATGCAACAATTCGACTCCCATTGGCAATACCGGCATGCATGCGTATAAATGCTAGTGGGTGATGCCCATTAAAGTTTGCAGTTACGCTGTACTAGCCAGATTACCCTTCACTGTCAAGCTGTGCCATACCGCAAAATCTCGTAAGCATGCAATCCCCCGAGAAATTGCCCATCCCGTCTTTCTGGCTCCACAACATACCAATTCCAGACATCAGACTATGATCGATGAGAATCACAACAATCTGCGGTAATGTGTGACGAGCGAGTTCCTAGTGGGTTCCCGCATTTTTGCCCATGATCTGCATGCGCAATATCAGTTCCCGTGACACGCAAGTTGTTCCCCGCGTGTTTAGTGCGTCGTAGAATGCGAATCTGCTGCATCTGTTATCTGTGGTATTCGTTCCCTGGACATGCAAGTTCATAGTGGGTTCCCGTGTTATTGTCCACGATCTGCGCGTGCAGTTCCTATGACAGGCAAGTTCGTAGTGGGTTATTGCATGTTAAATGTCCCACGAAATTCGAATCTGCTGCATCTGCAATCTGCTGCATTCACTCCAGTGAAATGCAAGTTTGCAGCGGGTTTCCGTGCAGGCCCGGCTTTACACCATCAAGCGCCCTGGGCAAACTCCGGCCGTGGCGCCCGCCCCCCCCCCCCCCCCCCCCCCCCCCCCCACCCCCCCACCCACCCCCCCACCCACCCACCCCCCCACCCACCCACCCACCCACCCACCCACCCACCCACCCACCTACCTACCTACCTACCTACCTACCTACCTACCTACCTACCTACCTACCTACCTACCTACCTACCTACCTACCCCCCCCTCCCCCCCCCCCCCCCCCCCCCCCCCCCCGTCGTGGTCGAGATACGCCCCTATCTACTAGGTACGACATCACGCTGTTAGTAAATATGTGAGAAATGGCCGAAACACCAGCGTTTCGTCAAGCAATAACCGCATTCCGAAAACGAAGGGCGCTGTGTTCTAATAAATAAAAAAAAGCTAAAATATTTTTCAAAAGGGGGGCGCAGCGGCGCCCCCTATTGATGGCGCCCTGGGCGACCGCCCTGGTCGCCCACCCCTAAAGGCGGCCCTGTTTCCATGTGTCCTTTGCGCAACAAAACACCAATCTGTGATATGCTTTCCCGTGACACGGGAGTTTGTAGCGAATTCCCGCGCGTTTATTGCGGCGTAAAACGCCAAGTTGCCGCATCCACGGTCTGCAGCATCAGTTATCGCATCACGATGGTTTGCAGCGTGTGCCCCAGTGTTTTTCATTAATTTCTGATAAAGGTTTGCCGTCGCAATCCCAAAGATAGCCCACACCACATTTTTCTCCATTTATATTTTCATGTTGAGTGGGCGCCATTAAGGAATTTACGGTAGTCAAATAAGTGTTTCCATTAGTGCTCGTGGAGAAAGCTTAGCAGGATTGTTTTGGGCTCAGGGACTAGGAATCTGCTGCCCTTTCGAGGGTCAAACAAATAAACGAGGAAATATAAATGAGCGAACAATCGAATAAATAATCCTAGATAAGCATTTAAATACAAAATTGAGGAGTAAAAAAGAATTTAAGAATAGATATACTTTATTTTTAAATTTAGAATGTAACTAATTACAGAATAAGTTGGAACCCAGAAAACTCAGAAGGCATAAAACAAGGCACATATGTTCACACAGGGCAGAAGACTACCAGGGTGATGCTGACAAAATGCAATAGTTACGACACAAAGCCATGGGCGTACCAACCGGGGGGGCAAGGGGGGCACTTGCCCCCCCAGTTCTCAGAGTGGGGGGGCAAGGCATGCGTTTTGCCCCCCCTGGAACGGCCGCCACTGGGCAGAGCAGACACAGGCCGGCGGCGCCCAAGGAATACCAAGGGCACTGCCCCTCGACCCGCGCGGGCATATTTTTAACGCGCAGGCGATACAAACCCTAGCAACGGTGCTCACGCACGCCGGATTGACTGGTTCGTAAAGCCTTGCTCCACGAACAAGGCTACACGGTAACCTTACGGAATCCATCCGCGAGACATGGGCCGGACGGGCCGTCCAGACCAGGACGTAGGCCCTTACACAAAATAAAGTTTTGCTTGCTTGCTTGGAGACAGGCGCTGCCGCCGTCAACATAGGCAGCGGATGCAATGCGAGTTTCCGAAGAGGTAGCGTAACTTAGTGGTGAGATGTCTGCCTCATACGTGTCAGACCCGGGTTCTATTTATGGTGTGGGCCGGCTTACTTCTTTTTATTTTTTTTCTCGAACATTTTGTTTTGTCGAGGCATTTGGCGATATTTACATTTCTTTTTTACCATTAACACTAAAAAAAACGAATGTTGTTGACGAAACATCGCTAAACTAAATCGTATCGACTCTATTTACGGAAGTGCATGGGGGGCAGCGGGGCTTGGGTTGCCGACCGGACGCCGCAAAGCGGTGTGTACGGGGGGTGGGGGGGCTAGGTGGGTTAATAGATTTGTAATTAGCAGCCGCACACCGTCACCGCGAAGCGGCGTGAACGCAGGCGCGGGGGTGGGTTAACGCGCTTCGAGTGATACACGAGCAGCCCATCCGGCGTGAGCGTCGTTGTTAGGGGTTCTATCGCCTGCACCGTAAAAGGAGCAGTGTGTGCACCTCCTGTAGTGGGCAAGAATTCCTACATTGGAGAGAAGCGGGGACAAGCCCTTTCTTCAAATGCGTCAAGTCTCCTTGAGCTTCGGAATACAAAGAAACGCCACTATTTGGAGCTAATCCCACAGTTACTCGACCTCTCTCGCGTCGTGTCTGTTCGCTCCCCGCGCCTCGTAGCGGTGTTGTTGCAGTGGGGGGGCTCGTTAAAATTTTGGGGTTTTTTGGACTATCTAAATCACTTTCTTCCTTCCCATCCCCCCCTTTTCTACTCCGCATGCTTCCCCCTCTGCAAATATCAGCTGAACTTCCGACATCTTTTCTCTGTTGATAGGCAAAACAACCACTAAAATTAGAAAGTAATTTGTAATTTGAGTGGAAGTCACTCGGAAAAGTAGTTAAAGTAAACTACGAATTACTAGAATATAAATGTAATTAAAAGTTACTAAACTACCCAGAAAAGTAGTTAAACTACAGTAACTTGAGTAAAGTAGTTGAACTACGTACAAGTCTGGCCCGGCAGGCGCTCTGCGTAAGGGTTTTCACCTATCTGCCTAGCCCCGCACACCATCACATGGGCCAAGAAAGGTGTAGTTTTACTGCAGAGGATAAATCAGCAGGGTCCAAGATGGTGACAATGGAGGATGGGGGACTGTTCCAGTGGCTGATGGCTTGAGAAAGGAATGACCAATTGAAAGCGTTAGTAGAGCCAGAAATGTGTTTGATGGTGCAGACGTTGTTAAGACGAGAAGATGTTCGGTCGGGGGTAATAACAAAGTGGTTTTGAGGTCGGAAATGGTAGTAAATTTTGTGAATAAGGCACAGCTGAGAGACTTTCCTGCGAAGCTGCAAAAAGGACATGGTTAGTTCAGTTTTTAGCGCTGAGACACTGAAAGAAAAGTCATAAGTGGATGAAATGAAGCGAGCAGCTCTGTTCTGAACTGCCTCTATAGGGTATTGATGAGGTACAGTCGATGGGGAGTCCAGATGGTTGAAGCATATTCTATTTTTGGTCTGACGTACGTGTCAAAGGTTAGCTTACGGACAAAGGGTGGAGCGCTTTTTAAGTTTCGTTTGCTTAGTCCAAGAGATCCAGATGAATCGGAAGTAATGACTTCAATGTGGTTATTCCAGGGAAGGTCAGATGTTAGTCTTACACCAAGGTGTTTATACACAGTAGCGGTCTCAATCAGATCGGAGTCCAAGAAGTAATTAAATGACAGAGTGGTTTTTTTCTTGGTGAAGTGGATTAGTTTGCGTTTATACTTGTTTAATGATTTAATCCACTCTTTGCACAAATTGTTAATTTTATCTAGATCTTTCTGAAGCTGGTTATTATTTTGCACACAAGTTACTTTGTTATCGATGACGCAGTCGTCGGCGAAAAAGCGTATTTTTGAAGACAGCCCAATGTGAATGTCATTAATAAATATTAAAAAGAGTAAGGGCCCAAGTACGAACCCTTGGGGAACACCAGAAGATACATTTATTAATGAAGATTCATGATTATTATGGACTTGACCTGTACATGGGAAAAAAGAAAGTCACGAATCCATGCAAACGGTTATTGGTCGAGGCAAAAAGAAGATAGCTTAGAAAGAAGGCGTTGATGGAGAACACGGCCGAACGGTTTGGAAAAAAAAATGCGTCAGTCTGGACGTGACATTCAAGGTTAGTGTGCAAGTCATGGATGAAGTCGCAGAGCTGTGTTTCGCAGGAAGGTACCTTTTGAAAACCGTGCTGTTGTTTAAAGAGAAGAAATGGGATGATAGGTGCCTCATGATATTGGAGTAGAGGATATGCTCAAGTAGTTTGCAAGAAATTGAAGTCAAAGAAATATGGCGATAATTAGATGCGGAAGAGCGGCTGCCCTGTTTAAAGACTGGGAATTACCCTTCCCACCTTTTGGTCAAATGGAAGGCAGCTTTGAGATAAGGACTGAATAAAGATGAGTTTCAAATACTCACTAGAAATAACACTGGTGTTTCTTTTAAAGTTTAGAGTTGATGTTATTGGTTCCAGCGGACGAAGTAAGTTTTAGTTTGTCAATCAATGTTTTAATACCGGCGGAGTTAACGTTAATAGGATGCATGCGCTCGTAAAGCTCTTCAGGGAGAGTAAGGACGGAGTCCAAGCACTCGTTAGTAAACACTGTTGAAAAGTATTCGTTAAACACAGAACTATCATGGTCGACGTTGCACATCCGACCATTCCTAACTCTCCCCATCTTCCTAAACGTCTGTGTGTGTCCTAACACCAGAAACCGGAATTTTAAAGGTTAAAAACGGCACGTTGCGAATATGGAACGCGCACTTTCATGCAAAGCTGACGTCAAGTGACTCAAATCGAAAAACATGCATATTTACAATATTGTTATCTCTTCTGGCTCAGCAACGGTTGCATCCGTTTTCGCGCACGAAACGGCGACTCCCAGAGAAAGTAAGAACGCAGTGATTGCCTTTATTTTAATAATGTAAACACACTTGCAGGCGTGCGCTGATGAAGCCTCAAAATCAAAGCTCTTGTAGTGTGATTTGTGACTGCGCCGGCTACTACCCAACCTCGTTGTCACTCCACTTTCTTCAAGCAAACACTAAAATTGCCAGTAAACACACAAAAGCGACATCGATACAATTATCTTCTAGAATATCACCTTACTTAGTCATAACTGTTTCAATAGGCACTACAAGTTGTATTTATTTTAAGAAGAAACAAAATTTTTTTCGTTAAAAAAACAAAATATCAATGTTAAGTCTGGTAACGTTGTAATTTTGCCGAATCATTGCCAAATCTTTAGAAAAGTTGGACAAAAGTTGCGCCGAATTTTCGATTTGGGGGGGGGGGAGAGGGTCTGGTTTGCCCCCCCACTCAAAAACAAGTTGGTACGCCACTGCACAAAGCACAATATATCTGGGAACGTGCAGGAACGTACGAAGTTACACGGACTAAGAACGGTGATTACAATGTCGAGCGAGTGATACGACTTCAGGAGCCACATTTGTCCCCCTCTCTATGGTATCTTGGTGGTTGGTGCACGTTGCGACGCGTTTCTTTATGCGCACTTATTTTTGCGCTGGTAGCAGCAGGCTTGCTGGAAGCAAGCCGCAGGGTGGGCTTCATTGGAAGTACCGCAGCCAGCCACGGGCCAGTCGCGAGATAAACGGCAAACTTAAGTTTGGGAGTCCCGTGATCTAGATATTAAATTGGCACTATGCAAAGTTTTCTCCTATGATATGCGCATCATTTACAACTCATAAAGACAGCATGCCTCGTGACATTTTGCTTACACTTCCCGACGACCTCTTACTGCATAACATTCAACGCCTAATTTGCTTCACTTTTTCTGCCATTGAATTTCCATCTAGCTGCCTGAAAATCTAATTTAGTACACAAAAGCTTAGCAGTATTCCCTGAATGCGCAGGAGAAAGAGTAGAACAATCGAGGATTCATACCATTTCAGGTAAAAAAGAGGCGGCAATCTGCAGCAAAGTAGTCCGAATCAATAGTTGCGTCGGAATAGTTTTGTTGCCTCTGCCCACCGAATATGCTAACTAAATGGGAGCCATTTGCAAGTACATTTCTACAAAACTGTGTCACACCCGTGAACACATGCAAGCAGAAAACAGGATTACTTGCGCTTGTTGAACTCCAGCAGAGTGCTTCGAAATGCCACTAAACAGTGTTAGGGCTGTACGTGAAACTGGCGCGAAGCAACCTGGATTGGAACTAGATGGTCTGGCGAAAGCCCGGAGGAAGGCCAGGAAGGCCTGCGGGATGAATGCAGGGACTGCCAACCCACCCGGTAGAGCACCAAAGAGTGTCCGTAGCGGTGCAGGGGGGCGCTGGGCGTCGAGGGCTGCACCGTCTCCCACTCGTGGCGCCCAAAGTCGTACCTGCGAGGGCATCCCCTTCAAAATTCCATTCTCTACAATATCTCATAGGTTGCCTTAGCATACTGGTATCTTTTAACTGTAAAGGGACACATTTCTTTGTTTTATGATGATGCCTGATTAGTGATAAATGATGCCTCTGAGAGGTACTAGTCAACCAGATGGAACGTTGAGGGTTGCCGAGTAAGTAACGAGAGACATATATTATACAAAGAATACAAAATATGGCCAAGCTGAGAACTTTTGAATACTTGTTCATGTTCTGGCAACTCTGCCATATACCAACTGCACAGTGCCACGTGTGGCTGCTCTCGTGACCACGCCCTCTCCCAGACCGACTGCTCATTCGAGCACTGGCGTGTTCTCTTCTTCAGCACCATAGATTCAATCCATCCATCCAGTCATGCTCACTTTACTGGTTTCTCACAATACTGTCACCAATAACAATTGATGAGGCAACCAAAATTAAAGAAATGTTCAATGGGGCAAACTTGTGCCCAGAACAAAATAGAGAAAGCCGGTCGCAGCCGTCGATCACAGCGTGACAGCAGGATCGAGCGCTGGGGCAAGACTGATTCCGGCTCGCCACGCGGAGCCCCTTATGTATTAGTTATGGGTTTCTAAAACAATCAGAGAAGAACATTCAGACCTCGAACAAGCAACATGGTTCTCCAATTTACCAGAACGTGACATTTACAGAAATAACAAAAAGCTGCGTCCACCGCCCGCCATCGAACCTGGAGCCTACACGCGACGGCCAAGCACGGTACCCATCCGGCCACGCACGCATTCGCTTGGCGAAGCGTGTTGCAATACAGTTGAATCCCGCTACAATCAAGACACGCGAGAGGGTTTCTTGTCATGAAATCAGCATCAGATGGGCAAACAATGACACGTTAGTCGCGGTGACACACGAATAAGCTGTCACTTTTTCTAAGAAACTGTCGTCCAACGAAAGATCACTTGGAAAGCGTCCATTACCTCAAAGCTGCTTTCTAACTGGAACCAGAGCTTTTAAAAAGTGAAAGCTGCTTACAACTCCCTGTAACGCCGAATTAGAGCGCAGCTCTTGAGGAGGAGAAGGGAAGGGCACTGGGGGGGGGTTAAACTAACCAGGGGGGGTCACGTGAACTTGGGGGGTCACGTGACCTTGGGGGTCACGTGACCCCCAATGCCGATGATGTCATCACTGACGTCACTGATGACGTCATCAGTGACGACGATGCGGGTACCGATGACGTCATTAGTGACGTCACTGATGATTTCACCAGTGATGATGACGATGACGATGCGAATGTTGGTGACGTCATCAGTGACGTCGCTGATGACGTCATCAGTGATGATGACGATGACGATGCGGATGCCGGTGACGTCATCAGTGATGATGACGATGACGATGCGGATGCCGGTGACGTCATCAGTGACGATGACGATGGCGATGTGGATGCCGGTGACGACATCAGTGACGTCACTGATGACGTCATCAGTGATGATGACGATGACGATGCGGATGTCGGTAACGTCATCAGTGATGATGACGATGACGATGCGGATGCCGGTGACGTCATCAGTGATGATGACGATGTGGATGCCGGTGACGTCATCAGTGATGATGACGGTGACGATGTGGATGCCGGTGACGTCATCAGTGACGATGACGTCATTGGGGGTCACGCGACATCGGCAGGGGTCACGTGACCTCAGGGGAGTCACGTGATTTCGGGGGGGTCACGTGCCCCCCCGAGGTCACGTGACCCCGGTGGGGGGCTCACGCGGTGCATTATGGGACATTTCCCATGATGCACCGGGGTCACGTGACCTCAGTGGGGTCACGTGCCCCCCACGAGGTCACGTGACCCCGGTGGGGGGCTCGCGCGGTGCATTATGGGACATTTCCCATGATGCACTGCGCGGTTACGCCGACGCCGACGCCGACGGCGACGCCGACGGCGACGCCGCTCAAGCCGGAAACGGGCCCCTAAGAGCTGCGCTCTAAAACGTCACCTTGCGTCAACCGTAACATCCTTGTCGCGTCGAAGCCGACGAAATCACCCGCAATATCTTCTTTTACTCGTGCATGGTCAGCATCGGGCTCGGCACCCACGCACGGGGTTCCATCACCACCAGCCCTCATTGTATCTTTCGCATCTCAAATGTCCTACTTACATCTTGTAACGTATTGCTCGTTCCCGTCGAGAATGTTATAGACTGCGTGATTACTATAAGAAAAGCCTGGCTACATCAAGACATTCTCGTCGCATAATGTTAAACGTACACTTGTTTTACGCTTGTAGGCACGCCCCGTTAAACTTTTCTTAATTATTTTTCGTCTCACATTTTCCATCTTGATATTTTCCCTCCTAATCGGCGGCACGTCTGCAATGGGCGCAACATCTGGGAGAGCATCACTTTTTCTCACATCTGTCAGAGCATGATAAAGATATGGCCAACAAATATAGACATCTATAGTTACGATCACTCCAGCCAGATTGTCCCAAGACAAGGCTCGTCCAACAAATCTGACTTTTTGGGGAAACACGGATAATCAACGCCATCAGAGAGCCTAATAATTGAGAGTGCATAGCTCGACGTATCCCTCTAGCCAACATACGTCGAGCGAGTCCATAGGATTGGAAAGCGTAACAAAAATATGCCCCTCATTATTATAAGTCAGGGAGCAAGTTGTTTTATGTGCTAAAAAAGAATTTCCCAAGATTACTCGCACGCACTGCTTGAAAGCATCTGCTTCGGTAAGCAATCACTCGAGGCTCTGCCATGATAAGGATGCACAAATGGCTGTTCCACGCTCTTCAAATCTATTGGAAAACATTCCTGCCAGACTTATTTCTCTTTTATTACAAATATTCTCCCTGATTCACTTGACAGTCTCATTAATACCTCTGAATGGTTAAATTCATCTATTTGTGAAATACAATTGTAGTCTTTTTAATATCTCTAAGCACAATTGTGCAAACAAGCGTGGCGAAGGCACCCCTAGAGCTGCAACCTGCAGTGCTTTTTATATCTTGTAATGCTTCCTACCCATCCATTATCCTTGGTGCTTGTTACCGCATACCAGATTGTTCTTTTATTGCTCAATTTCACAAAGCTCACCGCTGAATAACTGTACCAGCACGCTCCCATTTTAGAGCAAAGCTTTTAGGCGCCCATTTCCGGTTTAAGCGGCGTCGGCGTCTCGTCGGCATAACCGCGCGATGCATTGTGGTACACGCGACGTCACTGATGACGTCATCAGTGACGATGACGCCATCAGTGGTGTCACTGATGACGTCATCAGTGACGATGATGCCATCAGTGGTGTCACTGATGACGTCATCACTGACAATGCCGATGCAGTCACCAGTGACGTCACTGACGACGTCATCAGTGACGACGACGACGTCACATGTGACGTCACTAGTGACATCACTAATGACGTCATCGTCATGCGACCTCACGGGGGTCACGTGACCCTCGTGAGGTCACGTGATTCTTGTGAGGCGACGGCTACACCGCTCGGAAGGAGGAGTAGCAGACAGGATGAGGAGGTGAGGAGGAGAGAGGAGGGTTATACCTTCCCCTCAGTACCCTTCCCCTCCTCCTCCTCAAGAGCTGCGCTCTAATTCGGCGTTACAGGAAGTTGTAAACAGCTTTCATTTTTTCTGCTCAGTCACTCTCCCGCAATAACCCCATCCGATCCGACGCTTACTATGTCCAAACATAATAGAAAAAGCGACTTGGTCATTTAGTTTCTCACAAACTTGTCTCTTCCCTGACCAGACATCTTTCATCTTGTACTTGCTTCACATCCTCAAAGCATGCCCTCATTTACATATATTCGCCGATCATGAAATAATCCGTGCGCCTCATTTCAGTGACAACTTTCCCATTTCACAAAGGTAAAGAAAACACTATGATAACATTCAAAGGTGGTTTCTTACTATCTTTTCAAAAACATTCTGTTGAAAAGTTATTTTTTAAAAACAAAATGGAGCATCTAGCATACAATACTGGGGAAGCAGATGGGTTAATCTAGACGGTTGTCAAGTCAAATCTGTAAAAACCAAGATGGCGCCCGATAAAGAGCTTTGAAGGCACATTTATTTTCACACGATACTCCCGTCATCACTGCCACAAGGCGATTATATTCAGCTGATGCCGGAGCTATGGAGGGGGTCGGTGCTTAACCGTTCACATATAGCCTGTAGAATTCATCGGAAAATGTTAACAGTGGGTGCTTGTACCAAGTGGGCACTTTTTCAGGGAATCCAAATTCATCACTGTTGTTTTCATCAGCGTGCTTGAATAACACGCTGTGTTGGAAACATAAAGCCAAACGCACTTTTATTTTCTTCACATTTATGTTGCATAGCAATCCAGAGCAATTTTGTAAAATTATTCAGCCAATCAAAGCCCGTAATATTATGTGATGAGAAAAACTATCCCATTCCCAAACCCTCAAGCAATGAGCCTGTAGTGCAGAAAACACGTAGACCTTCATCCTACTTAAATAAATTAAAAAAGTCGGAAGACACATGAGCACTTCTAATGAGTTGTAAATGCGAAAGCATGAATGTCTGACGATGTGGATGCTAGAGGCAGCGCCATGTTCGTCGTCGGTGAGACGAGCAGAAGCACCGCCGATGATGTGGATGATGGAGGCGACGGCATGTTGGTCGGCGGCGAGACGAGCAGAAGCTTTTGAGCGTGCGCCAACGTGTCCAATTTAATTGGCGCGGGGCCCGTAGTGGCATGGGGTCGCGGCGGTTAGTTTTATCGGCGCACTGGCGGGACGGACACGCAGCGCCATCTGGAGGCAGTCGTTGAAACTGAATTGCGCAGCGGCCAATAGGACTTCTGGGATCAGGGAAACTAGGTGCCCTTTTCCCACGTCAAACTGATGACTTCGGCTCGCTCTATGGAACAGTTAATGCTTTCGCATAAAAACCTATTTAGTCATCATTTCAAATTGGGAGCTAGCTAGCTGACCGAGCGCCGAGATCAGTTGGAATGGGCACGGCGGTTGGTCAGAGCGCCAGCCTCGGGATGCGCGTGTTCATGCACCCAGTGGTCTTTCTCACTTGCAAAGGCACACTGATGCTTGTCCGCAATGTTGCTGTTTTGCGGACATCTGTTGGGTCTTTTGACCGCCACAAACCCATCCTCCTGTTTTCATGCAAAAGCCAGCTGCTGAGCTCCCTTTATTTTCTTATTTATTACTTCCCAAGATTAGCTTTGAATCTAATGGTGTCCTAAAAGCAATTTAAGTTTAACAACTCATCTGCAGGTGCAGATGGCATCAACTCAAAAATATAAGAGTGCCACAACCATTCTTTTTGTTTTCAGCAATCTCAACCGGAGTGGTGGACTGGAAGGTGGGCAAGATCCTTCCCATGCTTCAAGCAGCAGCATCAAAATTAATTTCCCTAATAGAGTCCGAATGTGTGTTATGACCTGTAAAAGGTTGGCTCGATGGCACAGACAGGAAGACCAACCAAACTTTACAAATCGGTATGTTGTAACCGCACGTTTGCTGTAACCAGATCTGCTGTAACGAGGTTATACTGTATATGCTACATTGGAGTACTGAAGAGTTTGTTTTTCTCTAGAAACAGAACAACGGTTGCACAGCGTTATTGCTGGCACACCAGCAACAAACTTGGAGGCATCCTAAACAAAATACACTTTAAATTACTATCCCTTTTTGCACTTATAATTTTTGAAGATGCCCGGTGAAACTGAGTTCAAATTTATCTCATTATTTTGAGTGCATAAAAGCATCAATCTGAGGGGGAGTTGGAATTTGTTTTTAAAATCTTCTTAAAAGCTAGCCTGTTGATTGGAAGATGACTGCTGGCCCAAAGTGGCTGCCCTGAACCCACCTGGCGATCTGCTGGTCCAGCCGCGTGAGGCCCTCGCCACCCACCACCCACATGGAGTCGCCCACGACCAGGGCCCCGTGCAAGGCACGGCCCTGCACCCAGCCCCTGGTGGGCACCAGCTCGTACAGGGCACCACCTTCCACCACGCTGCAGTCCCCTGCAAGATGCCCACAATCCTTCCACTTGCTCATCAACCCCACTAAACTCCTCGCTACTCTCGAGTCTTCCAGAGTAACTACACAATGAGCAAGCATGAAACCGTCTCCTTGCTCGCATATTGATCGTTTCTTGAAATTCCACTTCCACAGCTTGCTCCTTTCCACACAAGAACGGGACCGTCCAAAAATATGAGACCAACTGCACACCTTCGCCGAGTTGGTTATTTTCCGGACTGTCCTCTCTCACATAAATAAAAGGGCAGAAGCCTTAACAAGTGACCGTAGGTTACTCGCAAAAAGTGTAAGAGTACACGTGAAAGTACTTGAATAATCTGAGTTAGTTCTTCTAAAAGTATTTAGGATGACCAGAGCATTCCAGGCAAGTCTGTCCAACACACCCCCACCGGGCTCGAGAGAGCCTCTGGCCAGCACACAGCTGGGGCTCCAATGCGGGGCCCCAGCTGTGTGCTGGGGCCCCGCATTGAAGTCCTCTTTCGGCTTGATTTTAGAAAATCCTTTGGTATAGAGTCTACAGGTTTTCCCTCTCCTTTTAATCTAAACAATGATCAATTTAATTCAGGTGCCATCCAATTTACTTTAAGCGCCACCCAATTTAATCCCAGCACTGCCCAATTTAATCCCGAGGTCAGTGAATTTAATCCGCAATATGTGCGTGCATTTATTTGTCTTCAGTGACCATGTTTTGCTTGCATTTTTGATAGCTTGGAGTAATTGTTTTAAATTTAGATTTTATTGGAGACAACTGATAATTTTATCACTATTCCGATTATTTGGAGTTACTAGTCGCGTGATTGGTAAGGCTTAATTGACATGTTGATTACTATTTCGGTAACCGCGAGGCTTTGGTGGTGCACTCGGCTTTATTTTAGCTGAACTGACATTTTGTTTACTCTTTCTCATTACTTCGACCCATTATTGATACAATTCAGATGATACAAGTACAACTGCAATTTGTGGTTACTCTCTCGATTACTTTGCACTACTATTGGTACATGTGACTTTATTCAAAGCTTAGTTAATGTATGACTTGCTCTCCTAATTACATCGACCTATTAGTAACACAATTTACATGATAAAAGTTCAACAGACATTCCTTTATTACTCTCTCAATTGCTCCGAGGAATTGTTGCAAAAAAATAAGTTGGCGAAAGCTCATTTGACCTTTTGATTACTTTATGGTTATGTAGCGTATTGTGCACGATCACGTCTTGAGTTGGCACCTGTGGTACGGAACTCTATAGCGATGTCGCAGCATGATAGGCACATTGGCTGTTGTCGTTAAGTATAATTGCCTCCTTGTTGACCTTGGTATGAAGCACGATAGAAGAGTTACAGGAGACACGCATTTTCTGCGCCAAGTTCTGTGTGGTTCTGTTGATTGCATGCAGCTGTTGATGGCGCTAAAGTTTTGTGTACCGACCAGGCAGACATTCAAGTGCCACTTTTTATCCCAATGTGCAGTCCATCTGCCCTATAACACACGCCTGCAACAAATTTATGATGCCCTTTTGGTTCACGTTTTTGTTTGACGTTACTGTACATGTTTATGACGTTTCAACAGTGTACTGCTGCCACTAGGCTGTTGGCAGGCACTCAATAAAATATCTATCTATCCATAACTAGTATTGACATAAAGTACTTTATACAAGCAAAACTTCCATTACTCAGCCCATTTCTTTTAATCATTATTTACAAATGCGACTACATAAAGGTTCAGCTATAAGACGTGGATTATTCCTATGATCACCCGTGTTACTATTCACCAGACTTTAAATTAAGTCAATTAACATAGTGGTTACTTTTTATCTTCCCCCGATATATTACTCATGCAACTGAGTTCATAGCAGAATAATTGACACCTTGATTACTTTGAGCAACTAGCGACCTATTTGACTTTATATCGGTATAATTTGCAAAACCCCCACTTTTAATTATTATTACTATGAGTTTTTATACAACCAGGTGATTTATTCTCAGGTCAGTTACCATTATGATCACTCCTTTGATTACTTACACTTACTATTGACCCAAAGGAGTTTGACTTGGCCTAATTGACATTGATACCTCCCGTGATTACTTTGAGCAAATAAACTCATTAATTATGAGCTCGAGTCCCATTATGATTACTCTTTTGATTACTTTGTTGCTTTTGACCCAAAGACCTCTAATTTGCTTGAACTAACATATTGATGACTGGATTACTTCGAGCTTCAACCAACTGATTTGTTATAACCTCGATTGATGTTATTACTATCTTGATTACTTCGAGTTACCATCAACTCAATACGACTCTCCAATTACTTTGAGTTTTTACACCACCAATAGACCCTTTGCAAAAATACCCAAAGCCCAAGTGACTAATCCCGTCGTCTTTCCTCCCACTACCACCTGGCATACGCAAGCAGGCGTAGGTTACCAAGGCAACAACTTTCGAGCAGCCGAGAGGGTGTTGCGTTGGCTATCTTGCGAGGCTGCCTCTTTCTCATCCCTCTCCTTTGTTTGTCAACGCTTTGGCGAATGTATTCGCACCCTGCCCCGGTTGAAATGGGTGGATTCGGTGACACTGCAAGACGTGAAAGGAGGTTACGACGTAATCACTTCGCGATGCGTTTACGCTGCCACAGATACGACGTTCCGGCGGATGGTTCTGGCGGACGACTGCTGGTGGTAGCTGCCACAACTCACAGGCAGTCGTAGAGGCACAAAGCGCGTCATCTGTACCGAGGGTTCCCGAAATTCTCCGTCGTCGTAGCACTGTACGTTTTGCTACAGGTCTAGTATGAGCTCAATTCACATTATTATTACTCTTTCAACTGGCTTAGAGTTACTCTCGACTTGAGGGACTTTAATTCGGGCTAATTGACATTTCCTTTCTTTTCATTATTTTGAGCTAATATTCGACCAATTGATTTATTATGAGCTTCAACAGGGTAGAGAGCTCGGCTAGTTGGTGGAAGTTTAACAGGATGTAGGCGTAACAGCGTGTAACAATGAAGACTAAGAAAAGGAACACATAACAAAGGATGAGCGCTGACTCACAACTAAATGTTTATAAGTGAGAACAGACAAAGAAAACACGAAGTGCACAATCAGCCACGCATGCACCATGCAAACTGTCTCGTCGGAAACGGCTTCATCAATCAGCGCATCGCTAGCCTTTGTTCATAGTAAAAAAAAACATTTCGTTTACCGATTACAGGCGGTACCAACTTCATTTCACAATTTATGTCGCAGTATAGGTTAAAATTTTGTCTAGTCCAAAGAAGCTCAGGAGATAGTTTTGACGAAGTCAATGCAGTTACTCTGCCAGGGTTGAACAAATCTTCATTAATAGTGCAACATTTGTCAACTTTCCTTGAGGTCAATGCTATCTGAAACCGATTTGAGCTCTTTTCAATGCCTGAAAAATATTGCCCAGGGCAGTTTCTTTTAGAAGAACAGATAGATTTCCACCCCCCAAAAAAAAAGAAAAAAAAACTTTCACCAGTAACAACTAAAAAGAAAACTAGTTTTGTGTCGCATGTACTGGCATGGAGCAGTCTACTGCTAAGCAGTATGATTTCATGCGTATTCACATTGAAAAAAGAATTAAAAGTGTCCTCAGAGATGAAAGACACGACGGCCTAGTCCTTTGTCCATGTTGGGTGATCGGAAGTCAGAAAACAATGAAGTTTCCGAATTGCGCTTAGTGGCAGAGTGTCCATGCCTTGGAAATGGTGAGAAACCGAACCTCAAGATACTTGACGCTGCCAAGATGGCCACGTGCACAGTGCTGCCAGACCACCAAGCAGTTTCGCATATCGTCTATTAAGCCTCACCAATCGTGAGCCTAGTAACTCGAAATACTGATCAAAATATCAGTTGTCCCCGACAAAACCTAATTGTATAAACAATTACTCTCTAAGTTATGAAAAGTGTAAGAAAAACCACGGCTAATGAAGCCAAATACATGCCTGTATATATTGTGGGTTAAATTCACTGTCCACAAGATTAAATTGGGTAGGTAGCGCTGGAGTTAAAGTGAATGGCACTTGAATTAAATGGAATGGCACTTGAATCAAATTGACAATTGTTTAAATTAAAACGAGCAGGAAAACATGCCGAATGGCCCCTGGCAAACCTCGGAAAAGGATAACCTAGGCAAAAAAAACTGCCAACGACCCCATTAAGTATTCTGCGATTGATAGTTTCATTGTTGAAAGATCTGCTTTAGAGTTGCTTTTAGTCCGTGTGCTTCAGGATATTCGCTTTAGGAGCTTTGCTTTGAGCAAAATAATTGTAGATGTGCTAAAGGACATGCCTCTCGTGAGTGATAGTAGGGGTCCTGCACCATTTGCTGTTCTTGTGTCGCTGCAGCCCTCCATCTACTCTGCTCAGCGCAGCACAGAAGAGAACAGAAGCGGTAGAAACCCCTGTGAATGTTTTCTAATATAATACTAGGCACTAAGAAGTAATTGTTCACTGACTACTTGAAAAGAGTGAATCCTAGAGGAAGGACTGGACTACGGTTGGCCCACTAGCGGGCCATTCTGGAAACGTTGAAGTGCTGTCTGAAAGGAATGTTCCTTAGTTTCCATACACGCTTATGTCAAGAGATCTATCAAAATTTGGTGGGGAAATGCTTTCTACCAAATTTAGAGTGAGGAAATCACTTTAGCATTCAACGTTTATGAGGACATTACTTCTGCACGAAACCCTCCGAAAGCTACTACATAGGAAAGCAGCCTCTCAAAGAGCAACACATCTTCCTACTGGCGGAGCGGTGGGCAGCGACATGGATGGACCCCCGTTCATTTCAAAGGCCCTCAAACCCCGAGGACGCCGCAGAGGTCTACCAAGTATAGCGACAAAAAGAAGGGATCATAAAAAGGCAAATGATTGCGCGTCGAGGAAATGCTACGGCGGAGACGTCGGCCAAAGAAGACGCCAGCAGAGTGTGGTCCCAAAGCGCAGGAAAGAGTTACCTCCGTCGCAGACGCAGTCCCGGCAGGGGGCCCGGCCGCAGTCCTCGCCCGTCCACCCCGACGGGCAGTGGCAGACGCCCCCGACACAGGTGCCCCGCCCAGAGCAGCCGCGGGGGCAGCCGTCCACCCTGAAAGCCATTTCTCCCTTCACACAACCGCCGCCGGGGCAGATACATGCATCCCCAGTATGCTTCCTGGTGACGCCCGCTCAAAAGCATCGCCTAGGGGAAGCGAGAGAGGTCTCACAGCCTTTTCACAGCATGCCTACGGAAAGGGCAGCAAGTGGGGACATCGGTCCGCAGAGAGCAAAGCGAGAAGGCTTTTAGGAACGCCCACCGTGGCAACAGCTCGCATCACTCGGGGGACGGCAGGGAGCCAAAAGTTGCAAACGGAGGGGAGCTCTAACCCAAGTAAAAGCCACAAGCTCCTAAAATGACAGCCCAAGACAGCCAAGCATGCGCTTACCTGTAAGTTAAGTTAAATCCACTCATGTTGTACACGGCGTCGCTGTAGAAATGTACAAAGGCACTCCCAGAGTGAGTGACAATTTCTGGTAGCCGGGACGAACTTGCTTTTGACAGGAGCAGGCCACTGCAAAGGAGAAGCGGGCGTTAGCGGCACACAGATAATTTGCTCCGCCACGAGCACCACCGGGTGCATTCCCCCAGTCTGCTTGGGGGAAGCCTCGAGGGTGCTTTTCCAAGTTAGGTGGTGTGCACAGGTCTCCATGGTGAGGACCTCACTGTGAAATGAGCTCCTCACCCATTGTGCACACCACCAGAGAAGTTGGAAACGTTGGCCCATCCCACCAGAGCTGACACGAGGACGCCGCAACTTTGCAGAGACAAGAGTTTAGAGTAGGTCTGGTACCTCCAATGGAGTGGTGTGCAAGGAAGGGGTGGTGTATAGAATACCTTTGACGGGTGGGACGGTTTACATAGGACAAACCGGAAGGTGCGTAGATGACAGACTAAGGGAACACGCACTGGTAGTAAGGTCTTCGCCCCTCGGGTAATCTAGCGGTATGCTGCTTCAGGAAACTGTCATCCTGCTACAAAGCTTCAGGAAATTTTCATCCTGAGCAGAAACCCTCAACCAAATGACTAGGAAAATTTCGGAGGCGTTTTTCATAAAGAGGTGCGAAGGCGACACGTGCATTAGCACCCCATCAATAGCATTGTACGACTGAAAGGTGGCATATCTACAGTCCTTTGTTAGCTCAAGCTAGAAAGATTTTATGTAGATTATTGGACAATGTATTTACATGACGTAGAGGGCTGATGATAAGGCATATATGTTTTTTCTTTGCAAGTGCGCTCTACTGTCTGTCTTCTTTTACCGGTCCTCGTTCTTTAGCGCTTTTAATCCTGAAATGTATCCTTAACAAGCCCAAGTGAATACCCTTTTACACCTCCAATGGAGCTTCCCACAGCACTTTCTCCTCGGCCTACATTCAGGTCGCGTCTAACCAGCTGGGTCGGGCAAGCCTTCTAGGCTGACATTTGTATGTGGTCAGGTTTTGCAACTTTCCTTCCCAACCTTACAAAATGGCAACAGTCGTCACGTCGTAAAGACAATCTAGCAAGGTGTGTAGCGGGGTGAGTCGGTGCGTGGTCAGAATGCACAAACCAGAGCAACCAAGTACAATCAGAAGACTGTCCTTGTACTTGTCCTTGAGTCTTTTTTTTTTTTTTCTTTTCTATCAATCTGGCAGGAATGCTTTAGTTTGGCGACATCCTCCGAAGCAGGCATTGGACGGCGTCTACTGCTCGAGGCATTCGGTAAGCCTTGTTCGCAGAAGGATCACTGACGCACTCGCGCAACTCGGCACAGAAGGCGCGCAGCCAGTTGAAAGTTTACGAGCGACCGACGAGCTGGACGACATTCTAGGTTCGTCACGAACTGCCGCTTGGAGGACCGACAAACATACCAAACATAAAAAAACTCCCAGCACTCGGAGAAGCGTCTAACCTAAAGATGCCGGGTCTAATGTCCCTTTCGTCGAACGTGAATAGAAACAAATTTAACGTGGAGCCTTACAAAAGTTTTCATATGAGCACAGCTAGCCCAAGGTCTAAGGAAGTCTCAGAAAGAGATTGGGAAGAAGTGAGCCTTGCCTGTAGGCGGCCACCATGGGTGCGAACATGGAGTCCCCGTCATACACATACAAGTGGTCCCAGCCGCACTCCGTCTCGAAGTGGGAGAACTCCAGCCGGATGGTGGCGTTGGGCAAGCCGCTCTCCACCAGCCAGGTGCACTTCATGTCCTTGCTGTAGTTGCCTACCCCGGTGCTGATCACGCCGCTGGGCTCCGTCAGCCTGCAATGTACATTCAGACAGGCACAGTGAGCCACTCTGTGTAGGTGAGAGCCAGAGCAGTACAACCGCTAGCCTGGGGTCTTTACACGCCAGCACGACGCTCATCCAGATCGGGCAGGGGTGGGGACCAGCTGCGGGAAGGCACCACTCCCGGGGGGCCCCCGCCAAGCTCCCATTGGCTTCCACAGACGGCTTAGGGGTCCAAACAACTCGTGCACCCCAGTAGTATTAGATTCGGGGGCAGTCACCCATTCAAGTCTTGGACAGTCCATGTTCGCTAGGCCCAACGTTACTAGGACACTCAATTGGGAAACTGTCATGAAAGCCTGCATTAAGAAAGTGTCTCCGATCAGTATTCGAGAACAGAACTAATGGCGATCGCAATGCCGCCATTTCTCCAGCAGCGGCCACTCCGAGAACTGCACAGCTGCACATATTGGTGCATGTCGAGTCGCGCAAGGGCCGGCGGCCCCTTCATGCAGGGCCACCTCACAGTAGCTAGAATATTGCACGAGATAGCGTTTGCTATTACACTTCAATTTTGGCTCCGATTGGCCATTTTGGTGCCGAATTGTGCAAGGGGCTGCCAACCCCGGTCTCCCAAGCTAGGACATGCCCAGGTCAACACGCGCTATCTGAAATCACCGGTGAGACATTGTTCTATAAAAATAATATTACTTGTGCCGCAAAACCTTGTAAACTAAAATTTCATAAAACATCATGCTCCTGTCATTCCGTACTAATCTCCAATAAAAGTTCATATAAAAAAAGCCTTTTCCACTTGTTTTTATGCAAAGATATGCTTTCTGAAAGCTCATGATAACCCCAGTAAAGAAAAAAGATTCAACCCCCACCTTGGCACCTCGAGTCTGGTAGTTTCGGTACTCACAGCAGCTAAAGGGTGGCGCCGTTATATTTAGTTTGGCCTCGGTGGACGCCAGCAGTCCAGGTTTCAAAGGTGAGTTTCCCAATAGAGTGTTTTAGTAACGTTGGCTAGACCCTATCAAGTTTGGACAGTTCATACCATCGGCCAACCCAAACCAATAGACTGGCTAATATTTGTATGCAACATACTAATTCATACTTTTTTTTTTCAACTTTTAATCGGGTCCTCTAAATTACGGTAGCCGGCCCAAAATCAAACCGATTGAGTCGGTGGTACGACGTTCGAGAGACGATTAGCGAGACGACTGCTCTTAAAGAATTCCAATTGTTGAGAACTGCTGCCGTTGTTGCCACATCCGCAAGACTACCAATAATTCTGCCGTGTATTGTAAGAAGCCAGCAACTGGAACATATTTTTAACACTACGACACAGTTTAAGTGTATAAATAAATAAGGCTCTTTTATTCAACATACAAGCATTTGCGTTTCCACGCACGAGCGTCGTTTCCGTTTCCCTTTTTGTGGATGACTCGAGAGTGAAAAAGAATTGACTGAGTCTGAGTGAACGAGTCTTTCACAGATGGCGATACATTTCAAAAACGGCCCAGGCTCACTGCACATGCAACCTACGAAAGAGAGCAAAGAGCAACACATTTTCCCGATGGCGTCCGAATTTCCCGTTGTATCAACGTTTCCCAACATGTTAAAGATTTCTTTCCAACTAGATATTCCCTCGCCAAACACACATTTCAAGACCTTGTTGACACGTGCAAGTTTGGATTGCCTAGGGAACTAGGAAAGGTTAAACACCTGCTGCCCCACCTGGATGCCCTTGTCGTCAAAAAGTGGAGGGGTGCGCGTCAGAGGCACTAAGGGAACAGGGCACGTGACATACATTTCGCTCCAAATCTCCCCTTTCAACCTATCTGTTTCTATAAGTAAAGGCAGTGTTTTCCAGGTTGCTTGAGTCCTTTCACGTCGTGCGTCCTCCCAAGTAGTTGGCATGTTGAGGGAGCATCCTCCGGTACTCCACTCTATTCCAAGTGCAGACTGCGCCAATAGGTCGACCCGCCGACAGCCAAAATAAATGCCGCCGGGACGACTCTCAAAAAGTGCAATAAAACTGGCCTTTTGCGGCCCGTCTCGGCTACAACTTTTTTAGTCTGGTAGTTGACAGAGGCACTCATTTCTATGAAACACCAAAAACGACGCCAATAATTAGGCACCTGCATGCAAACTAACAGGGGCAGACGCTGTTGGTCAACATTAACAACGTGGCATACTGGAAGTGGAAAAGTGTTTCTAGAAACCCCTTCATATGCACTGCAAAAATCTCTTCAATCCTAGGGTGGCCGCTACGGCAGCCCCCTTCCCCGGAAGCGTGGCGTGCAGTCGTCGGCTGCTCGTCCTCAGAACATGTCTGAGCCCCCGCCGGCGAGGAGTTGGTGGCCAAAGCGGTGCTCTGGCTCTGCCAATTGGTCAGGACACGCAGCCTCACAGCCTCCGCACTTTTACAAGTTCACAGGGGCCTCCGAGTGGCGCGGCACGCGTCCGAGGCCCCTTCGCACAAAGGCCATACAAATAGCGCCAAATGCGCCAATGCACGAGGCCTGTGCTTCGTGTGGCCCTGGGAAGCGAATGGCGGTGGAGCTCGTGGCACATGTTTTGCACAACGATGGTTGTCGGCACTTGGAAGGAATGTGAATTTGATCGAGGGACGATGGCCACGCGCCTTGCCGTTTCACTGGGGCCCGACGTTCCAAACACTGCCAACTCTTTGACAGCTGCGCGCACTCTCCCGAAAGCATCTAGTTGCGCAAGCATGTGCGCTGCGGGACCTTTGCTCAGCGTCAGGCCCCTAGACAGAAGAGCGGGGCTGTGGCACTATGCCTCCGTGCCGCTCGTACACACTACTCAAGTTTCGAGCAGCGCACCTGGTGCGCAAAGTCAAGTAGGTTGTGTTTCGGTTATGCGAAATTCACACATAAAAGAAAACGAGGAGAACAAAAAATAGAAAGCAATGAATGTATTGCTTTGACAGAATGCCAATGCTCTTAATTTGTTGACGCAAGTTCTTTTTAATCACGTGCAAGTATAGATGCCGAGAGATGCTTGTACATGGCCATGACTCGTGCAAGATCGGATGACGAAGGCGGCATTTATGGTAGCGTCTTGCCAACACTAAAGCGTCAGTTTATGCCAGAATTACACGGTCATGTCTTGCAGATGCGCGCCTGGCCGAGAAAAACGGGCCTATGGCGGGCACTCACTTGCTCCCACGTTTGGAAGGGACGTCTCCAAACGGGCACTGCAGCTCTCTATGCGCGTAAACCACTCTTCTTATTCAAATAAGTCAGTTTCTAATGCATCTCAAAATGTTCTGCGCAGTGTCCAGAGAGGCCGGGGACCAGCAACCGACTGAAAAGAATGCTTCACCTCCCCGAGTGATTGTGACAACAGAGCCTCGTATGCGTGGTTTTCATATTTGATAACAGTGTTCACGGTGCACGCTCAGACCGATCCATAGTGCAAGATACATGTGGACATTGTATGTGACGCAGCTGCCAGATAAAATGCTCTCCTCGCCATGGTTGCAAGCACCAGATGACTTTTAGATAAGCGGGTAGTGTAGCCCGTCGTGGGCCCAGCTTCCCATGCTTGTTTCCAAAATCGTTTTTTTTTTTTTTTTTACGCTTGTTTTTAAAATTGTTTTGTATTTTTATGCGTCATGTTATGTATAGCTGCTGCTTAGGCACAGCTTTGTCAATGACCCTAGTTTCGTGCTTCAACAGCGGCAAAAACAGCTTTATAAGTGCATTGAAGCGATCTTTCGCAGCGTTCGAGCCAGCACCCGTCGAGGTCGTTGCAGAGGCGCCTAGGAAAGCGCCCGTGTGCCACAAAAACGTTTCTTTCGTAGTTGAGCCCGGCGGGGACGCTGTTGGCATAGGCAACTCGGGCGGCGCGCGCCCATATTACGTCGCAGCGTCCGCCGTGTTGTGTGTCCTCGCCTAGAGAGTATCAATCCTACGCCGTGGAACGAGCTCACCTCAACCTCGACGGTGTATGAAGCGCCGTGCAAGCTCGCCGTGAGCTCGCGCAGAGCAGAAAGCGAGCAATGAGCGCTCGCAGAACACGGGGGACTCGCTGGCCCACACTCGAGCGCGTTTTTGCAGCGACCGAGGCGGGGTCAAGCAGGCGAGCAGTGGCGACGTGCGAGATCGGGGCCCGAGCCAGGATTTACCTCACACGGCCGGCACAGCGCTCACATCCCGGCCCCTGCCAGCCGGGGTAACATAGGCAGCGTCCGTCACCGGAGCAGTCCCCGTACCAGCACTCCACGTCACCGCACAACGTCCTTTCGGCAGCGGTGAGCTGCCACAGGCACACGAGCAGCGCACAGAAAACCATTGACCAGCATCGTGGATCGACGAAATACAGCCGTTTTCTTCGGGATTTTCTTCTCACCATACAAAAGCAAAGAGCGAATTCCATCATCGGAGTGCCATGTCCTCAGATATTTGAGCAGACGCCGGAAAGCTCCACTAGGGCCGCTGGTGTCGCCGAAGGGTCGGTACCTGGTGGATGGATGGATAGATGTTCTGTGCCACAGAGCCGTATATGTAGAGAGATTGGTCAATGGGAGGCGCGGGCAGTGCCAGGGTGTGTACCAGATTCGGAAATAGGGCTTGGCATGCTCTCTTGACTAACCAGAAGCCAACGTTGCCAGAAGCCGAAAAGAATCCCCTAGCGGTGGTAGCGAGAAACCGTTCTGATCAAAGGTCTATGTTCGTAAATGGTTCTAATAAGCGCGTAAGAGTGAAGTGTAGTAACTCTTTATGGTTGAAAATAGGGTCACGTGTTGTTTTGATCATCATGTAAAAAGATGTAAGAAACGAATGCGCCGCTCAACTCTGTTTTGCTCGGACAGAGTGTGACCGCTCGGACGGCAAATTCCCGGCCCTCGGCGCTTGGCGTATGGATTATGTCGATCGTTCCGCTAGTCGCACTCTTCCACCATCATTTTGGATGAGCGTGATTGAAACATCACGTGTACTATATTTTCAATCATCGAGAGTTAAGGCCCGTTCACACTCTTGCGACCGAGTACGACTGATAGCGACGAGATCTCTTACAACTTCTTAAATGTTTCTAGAATGAGGGAACCACTGATCTCAATGACAATTGTCATAGAGATCAGTGGAGGGAACACACTGACATTGTGGCGCCATCTATGCGGTGACCCTAGAACTGCATTTCACAAAAGCCAAGGTTCTGCGGGATTTCCGAGGTCAAATGTGCGTAATACCCATAGAAAGGCTCGTTTATAACATTGACAAAAGTTTTTCGAGCCAAAAAAGAAAGGATATTGCGCGAGAAATAAAAAAAAAAATAGGCCGGACCGCCGAGTTTACACTGCTTCCCAATAGATGGCGCCAGTGTGTTCCCTGGTTTAAGAAGTTTAAAGGCCCGTTCACACTCTTGCGACTGCTTGCGACCTCTTAAACCTGGGTTCCTTAAAACTTCTTAAACCAGAGAACACACTGGCGCCACCTATTGGGAAGCAGTGTAAACTCGGCGGTCCGGCATATTTTGTTTTATTTCTCGCGCAATATCCTTTCTCTTTTGGCTCGAAAAACTTTTGTCAATGTTATAAACGAGCCTTTCTATGGGTATTACGCACATTTGACCTCGGAAATCCCGCAAAACCTTCGCTTTTGTGAAATGCAGTTCTAGGGTCACCGCATAGATGGCGCCACAATGTCAGTGTGTTCCCTCATTCTAGAAACATTTAAGAAGTTGTAAGAGATCTCGTCTCTCTCAGTCGTACTCGGTCGCAAGAGTGTGAACGGGCCTTTAAGGAACCCAGGTTTAAGAGGTCGCAAGAGTGTGAACGGGCCTTTAAAGGGGTACTCCACCGATTTTTTTAGCTACCTCAACTAACTATATTTTCTGACTCCCCGGCCTTTACTCTCTCCGGTATGCTATTTAGAATCGCGAAATTCATAATAGTTATTGCGAAATGGGCAAATGAAAATGATGCAAAAACCAACATTCAAATATACGCGCGCTTTTCAGGGCCGTGACGTCAGTGGCAGGCAGGCTTGCCAGTCGAGCAAGCAGCCAAAAAATAGAATATGCCAATCATTTGTTGCGTGCTGGAGCGCGGGTACTGCAGCGAGCTTCCCAAGCATTCATTTGACACCATGAAACTGCTTCGAATCAGTTTAAAACAAAATCTACAGCCCAAAGAGTGAACCCCTGCCTTCCACTGACGTCACTTTTTCATTGTTGCCAGTAGAGACTTCGAGCTTGAAACACACGGTGAGGACCAAAACTGTAAATTCAATAACTTCGCGGAGAAACAATATTTTGACCTAATATTTGGGATACTATTTTTGCGATGTTTGTTGGTTAGTTTAGCAAAATTACAAGCAAATCGGAGACAGTGAAAAAATCGGTGGAGTAGCCCTTTAAGGAACCCAGGTTTAAAGGGATACTGAAGCGAAACTTGAAATACACCTATTATGGTCAGAAATAGGTTCAATATGATCAATGATATTCATAAATCATAATCGCGCGTTTGTATTTTGAACGGATGGCTATATTTTTCACCCTGATGGGCCCGATTGGGCGCGCGCTCAAAAATCGGCCATCGGAGAGCGCGATGCGTCTTGGGATATTGGGCGCATTCGTGACGTCACTTGTGCCGGTCGGGAAAGGCTATGGCGTGAATGTTGTGGTTACGAGCGTTGCCACTTGGTGGCGCGTCGACGATTTACGGTCTCGAGGCCCAGGTAGAGGAGCTGACTAGGCAGCTTAATCATGAGAGGGAGCAGCGGGTCGGCCTCGAGAAGCAGGCGGAAGAGCTGGGGGAAGTATGGAAGGCGGGTTTAGAGGAGCGTAAGAGGGAGTGTGACAGTAGGGTAGAGCGCCTGGAAGGGGTAATTCGAGCGAGTGAGAGTAGCGAGGGAAGAAAGGAGGAAGTGTCAGTTCTAGCGGGACGAACCACCAGTCTGCAGGCTGGGGTCCCTGGTGGTCGGGAGTCCGGCCTGTTGGCAGGCGGGCTCGACGACGCTGGAGAGCTGATTGAACCCCAGCTCAATGGCGCCTTCGAGCAGCAGGCGTCGGGCAGTCAGGTGACAGGAGATAAGTCGCAGGACAAAGGCGCGCAGGCACCAGGGGGATCTAGGGTACTGGTAGTGGGGAGCTCTAACGTAGCACGGGTTAGGAGGGGTGTACATAACAGGGTGAAGGGAGACCAGAGGGTAACCGTAGAGGTCCAGCCAGGGAAGTGTATGGTGGATGCTATGACCGCAGCACGTGAGGGGGTGTGGGATAACCGGGAGGGAAGGAACCTAGTAATAGTTCATGCGGGGCTTAATGATGTGCTGAAGGGTAGGAGCCAGAACCTCGGAAAGCAGCTAAACGTGGGAATACGTAAGCTGAGGGACGTGTCTGAGAATGTGCATGTGGTTGTGTGCACCATTCCAGAAGTTCGGGGGCAGTCCGGGTTAACGGAGAGGAGGGTTGTCGAAGCCAACGGAGTAATTAAGGGTATGAGTCGACAGCTTCGGTACGACGTAATGGAAGTAAACAGAGAAGTGTACGAGGCTGGCTCCCGCCCTTTTGCAGATGGCATTCACTACAGTGAGGCCACGGGTTACAGGGTGGGGGATAGGATGGGCCGCACGGTGACTGCTTTTTTGGGGGGACCGAGGGCCCTGGGGGCACTGAAGTAACTGAAAACCCAACAAAGTCAGGAGAGGCACCCAGGGTTAAAAAGAGGAGAAAACGTAAGAACAGGTATAAAAAATCAGCACAATCAGACATTGGATATATTAACATGCAGGGTGGTAGAAATAGGTTAAAATGGGAAGAGGTAGAGGAGCAACTAAGAAAGGAGGATTTAATGGTGTATGGGTTTGTGGAAACACATCTCAGAGACATGGAGCAGCCACCTTGCAACCCTGACTATGTGTGGGAAGAATGCAACAGAATGGAGGGAACGAGGAAGGGAGGTGGAATTGGAGCATTCATTAAGAAGAATATGAACTTTCAAAGGATCAGAAAGGAGTGCGCCGAACATTTGTGGCTGAAAGGAAAAGTCGCTGGGGAATCAACAGTCCTTGGAGTGGTTTACTTATGGACAGGGACAGGTGCTAAAGAGGAAAACAGAAAAATGATTGATTGCATATCAAGAGACATTAGTGAACTAGGGGAAGGCTCCGAAATAATTATTATGGGAGACATGAATGCCCATATTGAGGGTCTGGATGGGTATACGGACTCAACTGGAAGCATATTACTAGAACTGGTGGAAAAACATGACTTAGTTTTATGTAATACCAGTCAGAAGTGTGACGGGCACATAACTTGGGAAACTGGCAATCTGCATTCAACTATAGATTACGTACTCATGTCACACAAAATATATGGTAAGTTACAAGTAATGAAAATAGATGAAGAAGGTTCCAAAGGTCTTGGTAGTGATCACAAACGTATTAAGCTGAATTTTGCCAGAGAAGTAAATGCTGAAACTAGGCAACATAATTCAAAGCAAACTTTCTGCAGCGACAAAGAGTTGGAAATAGTTGTTGAAAGAATAGAGGCAGCAGTTTCAGGGCAACGGCATACAGATTGGACCTATGAGAGCCTAACTAGACTTTTTTCTCTAGAACTAGACAAAGTTAAGAGTAAACGAAAGGGGAAGCAAGGACATAGACCAAAAAGTTGGTGGGACAAAGAAGTGAAGCAAGCGATACAAAAACGTCAGGAAGCCTCTAGAGAACACAGGTATTCCAAGCGTAGTGGGGAGTCCGAAACAGAAGTAAAAAGAAAATGGGACAATTTTGTAACATGTCGCCGAGAGGCATCCAGTTTGATCAATGCGAAAATTCAGAGAAAGGGTGAGGAATGGATGAGTAATGTAAGTAAGAAAGATAGAAATGCTGCCAAGAAGTTTTGGGAGCACTTGAACTCACTCGGTGAAACAACGCAAGCTAGACAGAGGTTTATACTCTCGCATCAGGGAGATCAATTAGAGGGAGATGATGCGATACAATATATAGGAGCAGTGATGGAGGAGAAATTTCGGGAACGGGTACATGTGGAAGATAGGAGAACCGAAGGAAGTAGCAGTCCAGTTTGTGACATCGCGGATTTTGGACAAAGAGAATGGGAAAAGGCGGAACGAAGAGTCCCTAGTGGCACGTCGACAGGCACAGATGGTATCCCTATCAAGCTGGTGAAGAATTTGGGTCCTAAATCTAAGGCAAAACTAAGGGAGGTAGTGAGTACCATGATAACGAAAGGAAATATTCCAGATGAATGGAGGCTTAGTAGGATGAGTATGATATATAAGGGAAAGGGAGATAAGTCTGATATTAGGAATTATCGTCCTATAACCGTGACACCGGTTATTTACAGGTTGGTAATGCAGATTATAAAGAACAGACTGGAGGAATGGGTAGATTGCGAGGGCATACTGGGCGAGTTACAGAACGGGTTTCGAAAACAAAGAAGGTTGGAGGACAACTTATTTTCTCTAACACAGTGTATAGAAATAGCGCAAAAAGAAAACAGACAGCTCTGGCTGGCATTTCTGGATATCAAGGGTGCCTATGACAATGTGAACCAAAGAAACCTGTGGGACATAATGGAGAACTTAAACCTAGATGAAGGACTAACAGCACTATTAAGGAACATTTACAAAGATAACAAGGTGATTATAACATGGGAAGGAAAGGCGACAGGGAAAATAGAGATAAGACGAGGCCTTAGGCAGGGGTGCCCGTTATCGCCTTTGCTGTTTATGTTGTATCTGAGAGGATTGGAGGATAGACTAGAGAAGAGTGGGCTTGGGTTCAACCTTTCTTACAGTAAGCTAGGCCAAACAATTCAGCAATCCTTACCGGGATTGATGTATGCGGACGATATTGTACTAATGGCTAACAACAGGACAGAGTTGCAGGAATTAATGAGCATCTGTGGTAGGGAAGGAGAGGAATTAGGTTTAGAATTCAGTAGCGAAAAATCGGCAGTCATGATTTTTAACGAGGATGAAGTTGAGAGGCTGAAGATACAGAATATTACAGTTGAGAGAGCTAGTAAATACAAGTATCTAGGAGTATGGATATGTGATGGTGCAGAATATCTCAGAGACCATGAAAAGTATATAATAGGTAAGGGCAACAGAAATGCAGCTGTAATGAAAAATAGAGCACTTTGGAATTACAACAGGTATGAGGTGGTGAGAGAGATTTGGAAAGGGGTCATGGTGCCTGGCTTGACTTTTGGAAACGCAGTGCTATGCATGAAATCCGAAGTGCATGCGAAACTAGAAATAAAACAGCGCGGAGTAGGTAGACTGGCTTTGGGGGCGCATTGCAAAACGCCAAACCAGGGAGTACAGGGAGACATGGGATGGGCATCATTTGAGAGCAGGGAAGCGGTGAGCAAGGTAGAATTTGAGGATAGGTTGAGGCTAATGGATGGGGAGCAATGGGCACGAAAGGTTTTCAGCTATTTATACATGAGGAGTGTAGACACAAAGTGGAGACAGCGCACTAGGAAATTAAGAGGAAGGTTTTTGGGCTATAGCGAAGATACGGAAGAGCAAGTCTCAGTTAAGAAGAAAGTTAAGGCCACAGAAAGAGATCGGTGGCTAGAGGGAATGCAGACAAAGACTGCTCTGGAAAGCTATAGATTAAACAAAAGAGTTATTGCCAAAGAAAGCATTTATGACAATTCTAGGGGAAGCTCATTGCTGTTTGAGGCAAGAACGGGTGTTCTGCGAACCAGAACATACAGAGTGAAGTACCAGGAAATTGATACAGTGTGCACTGCTTGTGGAGAGGAGGACGAGACGGCTGAGCACTTGATACTCTACTGTAAAGGGCTTCACCCTATGCCTACCGAAGACAACATAGATTTAATAAAGTCATTGGGTTTTAGAGACAGCGAAGGGAGAGTGGATTTCAAGACTGTAGAGATTACCAAGCAAAGATTAAGTGAATGGTGGCAGAAATCGAGAGAAAACTAGGTATTTTCTTAATCACTGATGGCAAGGGGGTTTCATAGCCTCACTTTCTTTGCACTGCGGAGTGAATATAGATTTCACATTTAAATATTCTAAGCTAAAATGGTAAAACAAAATGGCTAGGTGGCGTAAGCTACCGCCCGATCCAAAGGGCTCAGCCGTATTCATCCATCCATCCATCCACCTGTGACAACGTCGCCGTTTGAGATGCGCAAGGGCTGCACGCACGCTGCACCACGGCAAGTCGGCAACCACGGCAGCACTGACAAAACCAGCTCTGAGGCCGGATTCTCAAAGCGAATTCACGACGAAAAAAGTGCGTACGACAAATTTGAGAGAAAACCCGTGCTCTCGAAACGAAATTGTCGTAACCTTTGCGCAGGTTACGACAGAATCCTACGACAGCTCCGAAGCTGTCTTACGCACTTTTTACGATCAAATCAACAAGGCCGACAGCGTCGCTCAGTTACTTGGTATCGGCCACCAACGGACATTTATTTTTCTTCGTGCTCTTCTCGTGCGTCCCGACTTCAACCAGCAAGAAAAAAGGAAGGAGTACTTAAAACAGACCACGACAATCAAGAACAAAGGATCCACAAACACGAGAAGAGCTACAACAGCCACGATTCTGCCGACCGAGCGAGCTCGGCAGAATATAGTAGGCCTAGCAGCAACATCGACTCTGCGCACCGTTGCTCCGGCGGTCCTTGGCCAAGACCGTCTGTCCATGAACGGCTGGCCTGCTCAATGGAATATGCCCGCGCGACCCTTGTGGACCCTTACCGGATGAGTAGTTTGATCCCTGAACTAAATTTCAGAGGTCAATATTTCCCCCTTGTCATCTCGATCTCCTTGTTTTCCGAGACAGCGGTGACGAACGCTGTCGTCGAAAAGGGACTCTCATTGATTCTATCTCCTTGTTTTGTGTGATATAGAACTCAAATAAACGCCATACGGATTACCTTGGCAACTCGGTATGTACACTCTGTTATTAGTATGCCATTTTTATTCTGACTCGACGCTACGTCAGTGTCGAGCTATAGCAGTTCGTGGGAGCTACGCGATGTCGGTCTAACCTTTCTTTGCCGAGTGTCATGTCAGTATCGAGTTGCAATCGTAAAAGATCGGTCCAGAAGCGCTTACCGAAACGCGGTCTAAGAGCGAATCCAGCACTTCGATCAAACGCGCGCGTCCGCTCCGACTGTGAACAGGTATTTGGCATTTGCGTGGCTCTTGCTGACACCCTCGTAGTTCAAACATATCCTTTTTAACGTCGGCTTGCAGCTCGCGACTCGCAGCAACTAATACCGGCCGTGCCATTAGCATGCTCGGGCCGTTTCGTGCAAAGAGCCGCAACGAGAACGAGCTCACTGTGGCCAACTACGCTTTGGCTTCCTCCGCCAAGGCTTTGCAAACGCGTTCAGGCCTAGGCGAATTCTGCCGGCACGCCGTATTGCCGCAGAACGGCGCTGCTATTTTGGCACAAGTGATGTCACGAGAACTTCCCCCCATCCACCAGATAAGAATTTGAAATCGTTTAATTATGTTTAAAATTAGTTCTCCTGTGTTTTACAGCGCAATATTTATATTTCCGAGGTGGTGCCTGTCCCTAGCCCATATTTATGCAACAAGATCGGCGCTAAAATTTCGTTTCACTACCCCTTTAAGAGGTCGCTAGCAGTCGCAAGAGTGTGAACGGGCCTGAAAGGCCCGTTCACACTCTTGCGACCGAGTACGACTGAAGGCCCGTTCACACTCTTGCGACTGCTTGCGACCTCTTAAACCTGGGTTCCTTAAAACTTCTTAGCAATCTAGAGCCCTTGCACATAAGACGAGAAATCGCACGCTTGAAATTGCTCTTTCTAATAATTAACGACAAATTGAACTTAAGTTCAAGTAAATACGTTCTTCCCTCAAGTTCAAAACGATCCAGTAGATTAAACCATACAAAAACGTGCCAAACTTTCAAAAGTAGAATTGATACGTTTAAACAGTCATTCTTTGTTAGAACAATCGAAGCCTGGAATCAATTGCCCAGCGAGATTGTAAATATTGAAACGGTGTCTTCCTTTGAGCAGTCTATCGCACAGTTGTTAAGCCAATAGGAGCATAAACAGGACATTTGAAGGGTGAAAACTGTTGTTGTTGTTGTTGTTTTAATACTATGTAGAATGTCATATTTTTTCTTGTTTCTTCCAAAAAGAGTTGTGTCTGCTGGCTTTTTCCTTGTAAATTCCGCGGCTTTTTTGTGTATGTAATTGTATTGTTATAAAATTCTCCCTGTAATGACCCTCAAGTGAGGGCCGACAGTATTTCCAAATAAATAAATAAATAAATAAATAAACCAGAGAACACACTGGCGCCATCTATTGGGAAGCAGTGTAAACTCGGCGGTCCGGCATATTTTGTTTTTTATTTCTCGCGCAATATCCTTTCTTTTTTGGCTCGAAAAGCTTTTGTCAATGTTATAAACGAGCCTTTCTATGGGTATTACCCACATTTGACCTCAGAAATCCCGCAAAACCTTCGCTTTTGTGAAATGCAGTTCTAGGGTCACCGCATAGATGGCGCCACAATGTCAGTGTGTTCGGTGTGTTCCCTCATTCTAGAGACATTTAAGAAGTTGTAAGAGATCTCGTCTCTCTCAGTCGTACTCGGTCGCAAGAGTGTGAACGGGCCTTGAGAGAGACGGACACTTTATGTAGTGTGTGTGGGGAGCAGGAGGAAACGGCTGAACACTTAATACTTTTCTGTAAAGGGCTTCACCCAACAGTTAACAGTGACCGGGCGGATTTAATCAAAGCATTGGGTTTTAAAGACAGTGAAGGAAAAATAGACTTTACACGGGTAGAAATAACCAAGCGGAGGTTATCAGACTGGTGGCTAAAATCGAGGCAGGGGTGAGATTTAATCTTGGAATTCAAAACATATAATTAAATTTATAATGTTGGCTAGGTGGCGCAAGCCACCGCCCGATTCACAGGGTTTAGCCAGATCCATTTATCCATCCATTCATTCATCCGGAAGCAGAGACGGTTTGCCGGAAGTCGCTCAAAGATCCCGGGCGGTAGCCGCGGTAGCTAAGGTTGGCTTGAAGTTTGGCTTGGCTTGCCCAAGACAAGCCATCTTGATTTGTTTACCGACTTTGATTACTCTCCAATGATAGCTAAATGTTGTCAGTGTGCTCATTGTCACGGTCGTCAAGATAGCATTTGTCGCTTGTTTAGCAGTTGAAGTTCAGACAAACTCGTGCCGGTATGTACAGCCTCGGGGCGCCAAACAGAGCCAGCCGTGACCAGTGGTCCGCTGTGAAGCCCGCGTAGAGCATGGAGGATGATCCGGACGCGAGGGAACGTGTCTTCCACAATGCAGTCCGAGAAGTTCTGGTGCGTAGTCCTGCAGATCCAGGAGGCTGTACGAGCGCTCCGGACGTTTTGCCTTTTCGCGACATTCGCAGCTTTTGCTCCCTTCTGCGACGCCCGCTTATCTCGACCCCACCATCGAGCACCGACCGGCCCGTGTGCCACCTAAAAAGTACTTCAGAGAATTAATTCTTGACGCCCTACGGAACCGTTTTTCTCTCCACGCAATGGGCCTGTTTCGGGGGCGCTGTGGCGTCCGCGAGACGCGACCATTTAATGGACGTGAAACGACTTCCTAACGATGCACGATCCTCGGGCGTAAACTAGCGCAGCGTCTCTCTGTCCACAGGCACCAACAGGGCCTGCGAAGGGACGCAACGCGGCGCACAATAGGGGCGCGGCCAAAAAGTGGACGAGTTTGGTCGCCAGGTGCGCTGTTCATAACTTGAAAGGTCTATGGCGTTCACAGGCAAAAGTAATCCGCCTCTTTCGGCAGAAGTGGTGCCCCCTGTCGCAAGATTATCTTGGTAGAAAACTCGGGGAAAGAAAAGACTGCAGTGCAATTGCACGCTGCATTCTTTTAGTGCGCAACAGTTACCATAGATCGGTTAGTCCATACGTCGAGTTTGGCACTCGAAAACTCTGACGTACTGACTCACGAGAATTTCGCCAGACCTTTTATCATCTGCACCAGGAATATCGAGCGTTTCGCGGCAAATAATATGAAGTATGCACAGTGTGAAGAGACGGACTGCTTTATCAATATCGCTCGATAAACTTGGTCGGATCTGGCTCACTCGGTTTATTAGGCCTGCTAAACCATGGAAAGACCGCGCACGTCAAAGAACAGGCGGGTGTTCTTGAAGGAAATCTGTAATCGCTGGTAAGAGATCAGTTATTCCCAGTCACCATGTTTATATGCAGTGCTTGCACTCATCGTGACTGTTGAGAAATCTGTACTGTGCCGCCAACCCTTGTGTACTCACTCGTCGCTCAAGGCCGATTCACACAACGGACTAATTTGCAGACGGATTGATTGTGTGACGACATGTCTGCATTTTGTCCGTCTCCCAAGCGCATCCGCACGAGGGAGATGACGAGCAGACGTCAGCAAGGACGGCCCGAACCTGTTCGCCTCCCTACAGTCCCGCGAAACTCTAACATTGCACCGTGCCACCGTTGTCCAAGAGAGAAATCAATGTTTGCTACTGTGATAAAGAATCACACGCTGTTGTAATGTGCAGATCAAGACAAAACACCGGGATAGGCTTTGCGCAAAGCGTCACTAGCTTTACTAACCGAAGGCATGACAGTGACACAGACATGGTCCTGCTCGAGAAGGGTTCGGCGTGGAAAGGTTCGGTGTAGAAGTTCTGGGCTCACGGAGAGGCATTTGATGTCTTTATGCACTCCGCGCTTGTGTACAACACTTAAACACACCACAGCCACCAGAAAGGTCTTGCTGTTTCGGGAGTTGAATCTAGGTCATCGTCGTGGCAGTAGCCAGATAATAAAGGAGGGTGAACACGTGCGCTTGGGGTCTACAGCCCAATGGAACTTTGTCTCATTCTTCATAGATGATGTCAGGAAGGTCTGGGTAGAACAGTTCCACCACGGACATGCCACGCAGTTGACGAGAGTCCTCTGCCGGGCGTCGTTCCATTTCCACAATCCAGGCGACTGGCTAAAGTGGTACAACAGATTCATCCAGTATCCAAGGGTCTCCAAGCTCGTCAGCGCTCATGAAGGCAAGAGGTAGATGCTCTCGTATATTTCCTCAGAGATGATGTCCTACAGACCTCATCCCTTTTGGATGCCGACAAACAAAACTTCCAGAAGGTGTCGGACTTGTTTCACAGTCACTTGATTGGAAAAGGAAAGATCATCTACGAGCGAGCTATCAAAGAAAGCAAGAGACCTGAGAGTCGGTGGAATTTTTTCTAATACATCACTTGGTAAAACATTATTGATGCAGCGTTCTGAAGAACCAGCTGGTTCTAAATAGTTTCCTGGTCGTACTGCCTGAAAGCTTGCAGAGAGACCCCAGCCTAATGCTAGAAGCTGTGCACAAGCAACAAGCAGTCATCCGAGGGAAAAAGCAGACAGAAAAACAGGACATGGTCGTCGACATCCTCAGTGAAAGACGAGAAATGGGATGCTCCGCGCAGTTCAGAGTCGAGACATAAACTAAAAAAAAATGTAGCAACAACCACATCTTGAAAGCAAACTTGACGTTTCGAAACCAGCTCGGTTTCTTCTTCAGTTGACTAACGTGGAAGTTTGAGCTAGTTGGTATTTCATGATTAAAAATTAAGTGCCTTGTTCGTCTACCTTCTTGTTCTTGTGCGTGTCCTGGCGCTGTTTTAATTTTTAATTCTTCTTCAGGGGTGACTGAAAGCACTCGAAGCTACAGGTTTCGAAACATTGGGTTTCCTTTCGAGATTTGGTTGGACCTACATTTTTTGGACTTTAATCTACACCTGACAAGGCAGATTTCGGCCAAATATATTTACTTTCAAGAGTCAGGAAATGATGCGGAAACGCCAACCTGCGGAACATGTGGCTAGTTGGCCCACACGAAATCCGAATGTTCTGCAGTCAGTTTCAAGTGCCTAAACTGTGGAAGAAAAGGACACTGGGCAAAGCTATGCAGGGGTAAGTCCATGCAGGACATGAACTTAGAGATAAACCAAGAAGAATGGATGCTTGGAACTGTTCAGTCATCTGCTTTCTTGGAGAGTGCTACTCGAAGTCAATGAAAACGTCGTCAAGTTTAAGATTGACACGCGCGCTGATGTCACTGCCATACCACATGGCATAGAGCTTCAAAGCCTCCAGTCTGCTGCAGCCAAACTTTTCGGACCCGGGAAACGGATGTTGCAGATGGTCGGCAAATTTCGAGCAACAATAGACCCTTTACGAAATTCAGTCTGGTCACCTTGATCAGTATCATCATCTGGAAAATGGCATATGTGCCATACTAATGGCGGCCTTCTGTTTACTGAATTAAAATTAACTGTTGGGCTAGTTGGTTAAACATCTTAATTACAAAAACGCAAAGGACAAGGACAGGACAAAGAATGAACAGGACAAGCGCTTACTAACAACTGATTGTTTAATGCGTGATAAGAGAAAGACGAAAATGAGAGGAGATTTAATAAATTAAAATGCCAATTGTATTCCCACGTAAAATGATTAAAATTTTTATTTTTCTATCAGTCCTAATTTTTCTCAAATAATTTTTAATCATTTTACGTGGGAATACAATTGGCATTTTAATTTATTAAATCTCCTCTCATTTTTTTCTTTCTCTTATGCATTAAACGATCAGTTGTTAGTAAGCGCTTGTCCTTTTCATTCTTTGTCCTGTCCTTGTCCTTTGCACTTTTGTAATTAATTCTGTTTACTGATGAAGGAAGAAGCTAAAGATGCTGCATAGCAGATAATTCGAGGCCTATACATTCGTGACGTTAGCGTGATGCGAAGCAGGAATTGAACGCAAGATCCGCTTAAGTGTTTATTTCTAGCTCGGACCCAGTCAATCTGTTAGTAGCATTTGTAGAACTTTGTGCTTCATTCTGACTAGTTGCATCTTTGTTGCTATCGGCACTGAAAGAGGTAGAAAAACAAATGTACAGTGAAGCGCACACTCGTTTGCTTTTGACTTGCGAAAGTGACGACGCCCGATAAAATACGGCAGACTACATGATCATTGCCGCCATTAGTATGGCAAAAGTTAAACTGCCATTTTAACCACCAAAAGGCACTGAATTTCGGGAACGGTCTATTCTACATGGTCGATGGACAGTACATGATGACTTCTGTGTTCTGAGCAGCTTTGATAAACTGTTTCTTGGATGTGAGGCCATTGCAAAGCTTGGACTTGTCCCGTTTGTGCCGTTTTTCATGGACGAAATGGGCTCAAAAAACGCCCAAGAAGAAGCCTGCTTTCACGGAGCAGATGTCTGGTACTGTCAGCTGGTTCAACGTCAAGAAAGGAAATAGCTTCGTCAATTGCCTCGACACACAGGAAGACATCTACATTCACTGAACCGCCTTCATGCAGTATGACCCGTAGAGGATCATGCGCAGCGTCAGCGAGGGCGAGACCGTCGAGTCCCACATTGTCATTGGTGAAAAGTGACTCGCTCGAACAGTGAATCAGTGCAGACAAAGAAAAGCTCCTCGGGCATGGCGCAGGCATGGTCCAGTAACGATCCTGTAGGACTCCAAACAGGAACGTTGTGTCCGTGGGGTAGGCCTATACCTAGACAGAGATGGGCTTTGCCTTGCGAGGTGACAGTCTGATGAGGGAAAAACGGGAATGTAAATACGTCTGCTGATGGTGTAAGCCATAATTGTTCTTTTCCAGAGAGCTTGGGAAGGAAAGAGAAGCCATGTGTATTTGCCATATGTTTACAAGTGTCATTTTGTCCTCCATCGGAGAAGGGGAGATAGGGGCCAGATAATAAAGAAACAGACGCACTTGGGGTTTAAGCAGAACTTTTATAGATATTGCTGCAGTTGTCTCAATGGAACTAGCAGAATTTAGCGTCCTTACCGAAGGAATATTCATGCTCTTGCCACGCTTATTCATACTGAAAAACCCTCCATCTGGAAAAGTGTGGATTTGAGATTGGACAGAACAAGGGGCCACGTGGTTTAGTGCTCATACCACCAATGTTCTTCATAGCCTTGGCAAAGCTGCTGAGCTCCAGGGTGTGCTCGTCAAAGCATTGAATCATCCCAAGCCGAGTATTCAGGCAATCCGGCTTAATTTCGTCATCATCCCCGGGACGATTGTTAAAGGCTAACAGTGGGACTGCACAGGTAAATTTCTCATTACATGGGAGACACCAGACGCCCACTGGGACTGACAAACTTTGCACCGTCTAAACAAATTAAAATTCCCCGTGACCATGTCAACTACGCGATCCCCACGATTAAGTCACCAAGTTTCTTCAAAAGGAGAGTCTTTGAAATTATGCCATGATAATGAAGCTTCTTAATGAATAGCATTGTCTGGTCAGCATACTTAAGTCCCACTAGTGCTAGTGTGTGAAGTGAGAAACCTTGCAATCCAATGTTGTTGCATGGCCCCTTTCAGGTACCCCTCCGCGGTACAATATACGTCATTATGCACGACTTGCATGATTGTGCCTACTCGAAGTGTGAGAGTGCGAAAGGAAAACGAGCAGCACAGAAATGGCCAGACTCCTTGTCGGAAAAAGCTTGATGCTTGCAAAGCCTTTGGAACCTGAACTTTGCCTCGTTTCTTTCAGATCCATTTCCTGTTCTTCCTGGTGCTGTACATCTTTGCGTTCTTGCTCATCTCCAAGTTCAAAAAGCGGAAGGAGTACTACTTTGCAGGTTGGTGTTCCTTTTGGCCCTTCTAACTGCTCTAATGGAATCGGGAAGCATTGCAGAGGTGTCAGCTTTCCTTACACGCTCCGGTCTGCCAGAAGGATGCGCTACTAAGGATTGCTCTCTCCCCCTCGGCTACTTTGTTTCCCGTGGAACTAGTGGTTACATGTTCACCAGGCATCCATCAACAGCAGCTTTTGGAAGTCTATTTCAGTCCATTACACCTGTGGCTGCTTCAGCAGCACAAATGTCACTGGAAGGCAGCCAGTTCTCGCTGGCCTATTTATTCTCAGATCCGTTTTAGAGTAAATCCTCAAAAAAATACTTCAATAAAAAAAAAAAAAAAAAAAAAAAAAATTTTAAAGGGCTTTATATGGCACATATTACGTATAAATATTTCCACAAAATATACATATTTCTAAAATCAATTGTTAGGTACACGTTAGTTGGGAGAAGGCCTGCTTTAGGCCCCGCCTGGTGCTTAGTTAGCTAACCACCTTTTCTTGGCTCTCATTGGTTGAGATGATTGACGTGTTCCTCATAAAATTGTCTCTCCGTGCCATAATAGTATTTTTATCGACAGCATTGGTATGTTTGAGAAACGAATAATCTAATAGTCACTATTATTTAAAAAAAAAATATCCTGAGATTGCCTTATCTGTTTTGTTTTTAAACGATAACAAACATGGCTGCCGGTGTTCGCAGTGTACTCAACGAGCGTAGCTTGTTGAGCTGTTCTATTTTTATGAGTGCGAGTCATTCTGCGTCCGCCGAGGTGTTTAGACGAAGTTCTCAACCGACTTAGATTGCAGCAAACACCTGTCGCGAGTATTTATGCGCCTTCGGAAGCGCACTGCGGGTGCTTGCTTTCGGAGCGGGAGTGGCCTGAGCCTAGCGTCCCACGTCAACTATGTTGCTTGATCTGGCTTGATTTGTTTGTTTGTGCGTGTTAATGCTGATAACGATGTTGGTTCCTGCCCCACTGCTCAGAATTGTGCCACCGTCGTGATTGCAACCGTGGTTAAATGCTGAGATGATACTTATTTTTTTAAATATAATTTAAGACAAACCCTCGAGACTAGGGAAAAGACGAAGGAGAACACAGAGTCTCAAACACAGCTGAATTTTATTCCACAGAAGTTTGTGTTTATTCAGGGTTTTACTGCCCCCACAAACCAAAAGAAAAGAGTAGTAAAGTGAGAACACTCTTCACACAAACGCATAAGACCACAAAGGACTTGGCATAAAGCCGAAGGAAAAACCTACACAGGTAAGAATTTGCGAGCCCTTTGGCTGGAGGCAACCGGGCGTTCGGCTCGCATCAAGTTTGTCATTCCCGTCAGTTTGCGTCGAAAGGAACTAGCTTTCAAGTTTTAAGTGCACCTGACGTGCTGAAGCAAGTGATTTTAGGTAGCATTTTAATTGTGTGTCATGACCAACGAGGTAGAGGAGCTTAGAGCGTGGTGTCACTGGCAAGATGGCAGCACTCAGGTGCTTGCCCAGGCAGTGGCTGGCTCCAGCTGGGTCGGACCTTGTCGGATGCGTTGTTCGTGAGCGGAGATGCGGGAGCCTTGATGTGAAGCTGGTCGAAAGCGACTTTGAGAGTTCAGCGTGGTCTCACGCAGGTATAACGTGTATATACGGAGGATTGTTGCACCTTTTGCTGGCAATCGGCCCTGCGTTGCTCAGACTTCAGATTGATTTGGATATCGCTAGGATAAATTTGAATAAAACATTTTTGTGCTCTCGTTGACGTGTATGATGTCTTTGGATACACAGTTCGGCTATGGAAATTATGCAAGTTGTACTTGCCAGTGTGCAGTCCTAGCGCCGCTTCATTCAAATGACCGAAGGCTCACTTTGGTTGTGCGACGCACCAAAGACCTGCCTTGCAGCTGATAGTTCCCGTGCTGTACTAGATGATGCTGTGCTGCTTCCTAAATTGTTCTGGCGTAGATGTGCACTTTCACAAAGCACAGGTGTCGCAGTTGGTACTGAGTCCGCTGGTCTGTCGCTAGTTTCGTCGACATTCATTTTGCGAATTGCACGCTGTATGGACGTTTCATAGCTCGTGTTAACCTACCCGGCCCACCCGTTCACGCTGCTTCGCGGCAACAGTCTGCAGCAGCTCATTACCAGAAAAGTGGTCCCACATCCTTTTCAGTTTAGTTTGTCCACGACAGTTGTCAAAACACCGAAGGAGAGGACTTATTCGGATGCCACTAAAGCAGTGCAGCTTCTTTACTGCTCAGGATAAAAAAAAGTAAAGTGGTGTGTGTATGTTTATATAGCCTGAACTTAGTCTGCCTGAACTTGTCTCTCAGCTCTAGATGAGTAATTTAGCCAGTGCAGTACAAACCGCTAGCTTGGGGTCTTTAATGTGCACCATGCAGTAGTGATATGCGATCGCACGCCGGTACAATGCTCATTCACATCGGGCAAGGTTGGGGATTGAACCCAGGATCCCTGGGTTAGTGGTCAGGACAAACTCTCTTCAGTCAGAAGGGTGGAAAATTATTCTAGTTGATAGTTATTTACCCTGATTTGAAAACGCACAGAAGACGAGGGCAGAGTAACCTTTTAGCTACGCGGTGTTTCGCACAATGTTAAGAATGTTGCGAGGCGGTATGATGTACAGGTGGCATTTAAAGGGGCCCTGCAAGCATGTTTTTACTAATTTTTAATTTGTACCAAACCTGAGTGCACTGAACGTAGTAACTTAGTGTAACTTTTATTTTCTTGAAATTCGCTTTATTTTAAAAGTTATAGTCAAATCAAAATCACAAAAACAAGCAGAAAATAACCTCCCTCATGACGTCCTTGGTTGCTTGAGCGGCCGTGAACTAGAGGAGGGGTAGTGAGCTCACCGGCGAGCGCTCACGGCTACCGCACTCCGTGTCGACGGCGCGAGAGGGCGCCACTAAAGCATGTTCTGGACAGGCTGTATGCAGCGGGCAGCCAGAGCGGCTCTCATTGCATTTGCTGCGTGATTAAACACTAATTCGGCAAGACACTTCATTGGCCGCAAACGACAGCAAACATGGGGTAAAGATCAGTTCAGAGTGGGAGCCACTTCGCGCTGCCATGCTGCGAAATGGCCAAACCGCAGGACAAGCATCTCGCCGAAGGCCTTCGGAAGGCTCGGAGCCGGTCAGATCCTCCTGCCCATACGACCGCAGCGCTGCTGCGTACATCCAGGATTTTTCCGTGTCGGTGCCTGATCCCACTACTACTTTCTAGTATGCGCCGCCTTTTCCACCGCTTGGTGGCGGGTATGTCGACGGGTCATTTCTTGTTTCCGTACTTTATAAACTGCATTTGTTTCTTTTCTGTTCTAAAATAGTGAACAAAAGCTACTTTTATAAGTAATTGAAACGGTTCGCGCCACTTATATTTTGTATTTCGACTAAAAAGAAGCTTTTAGCGGCTCTGACCAGTAGTAGGCCAAGGACCAAAGACGTCACATTTTGCACGCCTTCGGTACCGCAGGTCGCCCTCGTCGGTGGAGGAGGTTTCCGCGTCGTCCGGTTAAAATATAACGCACTGATATATAGTTAATCTCTCCGTGCCCGCTGGCTTGCCCAAATCCCAAGAGACGTGGAAACCGCAAAAAAGGTAGACGCTTTAATATGATTGCAGGGCCCCTTTAAGGCTCCCATCAAATTACTTCAATTGTGGAAGAGAATCGAGAGTAGGGGGAGGGGAAAAAGAAAGGTGAATTTTCCTCTGGAAAGAGGCATGTGAACCGCTTCGTGCGATGTCGGGTGGACGTGGTGTATTGCATTTCTCTATCCTGTGGCACTGCATTAAGGAAAGGCTTAGGGAGCACTGTGCGTCTCTTCGAGTGGCTTCGTCAGGCCACCTGGCGGTCCACTTTAATAAGTGCAGCTGCTCTCCAGTGTTTGGTGAAACAAATATTTTGGGCACATATAGACAACAGAGGGTGAGGGGGATCTTGGAGGCCTTTCAGATGGTTTCTCGGGGAAAGGTGATGCATAAGCTACCCTTCCTTTGCACTGACTGAGGCTGAGTTGGCGTTTCTAAAGATGACGACAGGTGTCAGCACGTCAACATTGTGATTTTACTGTTCTTAAGATGTGTAGTTTTGACAACGAGGAGGTGAAGTGCGCATGAGCGATCTAGAGGGTGGGATGCTTTTTTTGTGTTTTCTGAAATTTCAGTGGACATATCAGTTGTGAGTGAATGCTTGTCCGTCGTACGTCTTTTCTTACTCTGTCCTTGTCTTTTGTGCGTTTTCAAATCGGGAGGATCTCTTCAGTCAGTTTTGCTATATTGTCACGGATGCTTGGTCCAGTCCTTTTGTCAATCTTTAGTATTCTGGAAAGTTCCAGGCCATGGTTGGCTGTCATTGTGTGTTCTGGTGGAGGTTCTGGGTACCTTAGCCTATGCCTTTCACTCTTACACCCCCGTGAACCAAGTGCAATCCCGAACTTGGCAGAAAAACCGCAAAAGACGAGCGAGTCCCACAAGTGTGAACCCTGCAAATAAGCTTCGAAGAACCTGCAATCCGAGCCAGTCGCCGCTACCAGGGTGCCGAATTGGGTCTCCTGCCAGGCACTGATTTGAGAACCACGAATCCTTCTTGACGTTGTGTGGAAGTTTGCAAAATGGAGCTGAAGCACATGTACGTCGGCCGACATGGACGAGAGAGGGCCAAGGACCCGATTCAGTTCAGGATGAGAGCGTCACCGTATTCGTGGAGGATGTTTTGCGCCTGATGGAGCGCGCCAACCTTCATGCTACACAAGAAGCCGAGAATCCTGATGCGGGACGTGAGGGTCTTGGGCAGCCTTGTCTGCAACCCTCCAACAACGGTCAAAGGGCTCATCCCAGGGACATTGAATGTGCACTTCATGCCCGGTCACTATCAGCAGCTTCCCGGCGTCTCCACACTCGAGTCGTCTAGCTGCAGCTTCGACGCTAGCCTATTACGCATCGTTGACATCATCCACGATGTTGTCCGGGAGGAGATCAGTAGAGCCCTG